GCAAAGTTTTTCCAATGAAATATTTTCCTTTCGAGTTTGAAACATATAATAGACTGAGAAAAAGTTCTAAGACTATTTCGAATTTTTTTTCGTCAGCTATTTTTATCTCTCTCTCTCTCTCTCTTTTCTTTGTCTTTTCTTTCCCTGATCATCATGGTAAAGCAGAAGATGAGGTTGGGGTAGAGGTGAAAAGTTATTATAACAATAATGATAATGATGATAATATCTTAAGATAGATGATATATCTTTGATATTAGAACGAAAAAATAGATTTTTTTTCAGTTCAAGTTTATCGATTTCTCATCTTTCTTATCATCATAATCATCATCAGTTATTAAACTTTCAGTATTCAATTGAATCTCATGTTTCATGTTGAAGCAACTTTTAGTTTTCGAATGAGAGATGAAAATAGAAGAGAAAAACAAAATTTGATTCGATTTGGATTTTTTTCTCTTCCACCGACATCAGATTTCCACCATTATCACATATTGAATCCATCACAATTTAGTTTATCTTTTTATCACTTTTATTTTCATCAATTTTGTGAAAATTAACTTTTCGCAAATCAAATTAACTTCAATTCTCATTAAATTCACAACCTTCCTCATTGGTAAGAATGGTAACAATTTAAATGAGAAATTTATTTGAAAATTTGGTCCAAAATCTCATCTTGATTATCACTTTTTTCACCATGAGGTGTGAATACAGATCAAGAAGAAGAGAAAATGTCAAACTGATGATAAATGATTAGCATCCTCATCTTTTTTAATCAACATAATGGATCAAAATTTTCCATGTATCAAGTTGATTAAAAAAATTTCCTTCATTTTTAATGAAACAATTTTAATTTGCTTGTTATTTTTATCTAAATTAACTAATAACAAGCTTTTCAAACTATTAATATTTAGTTAATCAAACTGACAACATTTCGTTAATTGTGACGCTTAATTGTTTTGTCGCCATTTCCGTTCGTATTCAAACCAAAAGAAACTTTTACTTTTTCTAAATTGATACTGATTAATTTTAATTCAATTTCTTTCCTTTAATGATAACTTACTTTTAATTGTTCGAAATTATTGTATTTAGATAATTCATATTAAAGACCAAAATGCTAGAATTTAATATTCGGTGAGTTTTTTTTTCTTCGTTTTCTATGGATAACAAATAACCTTTTCTTCATTTTTTCTCAGGTAATCTATTGGTCAGTTTTTCTTTATTCTAATGGTCATTATCCTCTTTATATTCCAACTGGTCACTTGGTGTGTGTTCTTTCATATTCTCTATGTGAATATTTTACAAAGTGGATCGTTTTTTTCTCTCTCTACAGTTTATTTCCCTTTCCTCCTCCGCCTCTTCCTTTCTCTCTATCATTTATTTTTTCTTCTATTCTCTTTTATTGAGATATCTATTATCGCTTGTTTTTCTCCCTCAGTAAATAACATCATCATCTTTTACCTGGAAGATTATTATTACTATTTGTTTACCTGTTTTCGTTTGTTTTTTTACCTTTTCTTTTGTCTAAATTATAACTCCATGTACCTACTATGTAATTGGACGATTAGTACGTTAGCAAAAGAAGAGGTTACAGTTACTATGTGGCTTCGAATTGTATCTCCCAGGTTCGAGTGAGTGAGAGAGAGAGAGAGAGAGAGAAAAGAAGAATAGATTTGTTCTATTCTCTTCTTTTTCTGTTCAGTTTTTTTTTCTCCAAAATCTTGATTTCTCTATGATTATGTTTACCTTGCAAGTAATTTCTTCATCCCTCCAATACCATCAACTCAAGTATTTTTTCAACTAATCTGACAATTTAAACTGTCTTATCTTTCTGTGCACCTTTGCTAATATGATTTTCTCTCTCTCTCTCATTCTCTTTCTTCATAACCTTAGATTTCTAAACATTTATATTATAACCGGAGAGGAAAGATGATCATCTTCATCATTTCGTCTCTCAGTGTTACCATGAAGGTAAAAAAGCCATGGAACAAGAAGGATAAAGAAAGAGGAAGAAAAACTTTTCAAAGGAAGGAGTAAAAAAGGCTTTCAATCATCAAATAAATGTAACGGAAATAGAAACACCTAAACAAGAGAGAGAGAGAGAGAGAGAGAGAGAGAGAGAGCATGAAAATCTTTGATGAGAAGAAACTTGCAAAGTAAACAAGATCCACAATAACCATTGATACACAGAGAAAAAGAAATGTTCCTTATGATAGTGACTTTTTTTTCTTTTCTTTTCTACCTGTTTTTTTTCTTCTCTCTTCTTCTTATAAAGACGAAGATGTTAATGGGAATGATGAGGAAGATGAGTAGTAGGACGAAGATGATGATGGATAATTCAAAGGAAACGAAATGTGGAAAATATTACATTTTTTTCCGGTTTTTATTATTCTTTTCTTTCATTTTGATCTATTTTTTTTCATATGATAGAAGTTAAAATTTCTTCTTCTTGTTCTTCTTTTTCTGTCTTCTTTTTTTTACAGGTAACATTGACAAAAAGAAACATTTCCAAAGCTATTGAAAGGATTATAATACAATGGTCATTTTCGCCGTGAGCAAGAATCTTGAATGACTGACCAACTCAATTCTACTCGACAACTGGACACACAAAGACTTTACAGCCAAAGGTCACTATTATATTCACTTTTTATGATTGTTATTCGTTACCAAAGGTAAAAAGGGTTAACAAGAATCTCCTTTGATAATTTTCATTGACAATATGTGACAATTTAAATGATTTTCTTACAGTACAAGATGATAAAGTTAACAATTGACAGGTAACATAAGAGGAATGAATCTTTACCTTAATCATCATCATCTGTATATTGGACAATGGTCATCGTCTTTATCTCCATCAATAACATTATGTTTGTAACCTGTAATTGTTGATCCAATCTTAAGATTGAGAAAAGTAAGCTAAGTAAATGATGAAATTGCTTTTCGCCCTCAGGGCACAGTCTGTCAGATAAGTTTAACAGTTGAAACAGTATACAAAATGTTAGACCCATTGGTAGACAGAGAAGAAGATGAGGATGATAAAGAAAGAGAGAAAATGTTAACAAGAAGATAAAATGATGATGATAATGATGATGGAAGAAGATTGTAATCAATGAAGATTGAACGTTTTTCCTCCCGTTCAACAAAACTCAAACAAATACTCATAGACCTGAGAGAGAAATCAATTTAATCAATGTTTAACTTGTTGCGATAACTGTTAGTTAATCAATTATTCATTCATTAATTAATTTGTCAATTCAATCCATTGATTGATTAAATCATCTTCTTCCCATGGAAATGTAAACAACAACATCAATCAGCTGATCCAAAGAGTTGATGTCATAATAGTAATTATTTCATTGATTTTGTCAAAAGAAACAGTTTAATTTAATCAATTACAATTTAAATATTATTAACAATTATTAATACAAATTGAAATAATGTAAATATTGTTAATCATAAAATTTACATATCATTTAAATTGATGTAAAAACTTTACTACTTTTTTCACCAATATTATTACAGTTTTACAGGTAAATTATGATTAAATTAATATATTCAATTGGAAATTGTAATTTATTAATTTTCTAGGATTCATCTTAATTTAGTTTTGTTTTTCAAGAGTTAAAAAGTTAATCAAAGTAATTGAACTTTTTCCCCCGCAATTTGAATATCAAATCAACCTAATGATTTGGTGATTATTGTGGATTTTGGATTAAGAAAATTAAGATTATCGTTTTTTTTTTATTGTAACAATTAACTTGTTGTTAATTTGAATCAATTAGCATGATAACAATTGAGAGAGGACGAGGATGGACATGGTGATAATATTGGAATACTAATAATATTATCATTATCGTGATATGGAAATTAGCATAATTATAATCATAGGAATAGATTAATTATTGAGCTTTTTTGTTCATTAAGCTCTAATAAGCATGAAGATAAATTTGCTAATTCCAATGGTTTCCAGCTAATCTTATTAATTACAGGAATTAATTATTCAGCTATCATATTGCGTCATCACTTGTGCTTGTTATTTGTTTACATGAGATGATGATGATGATGAAATTTGTGTGAGAAAATGAATCAAAAATGATTCTAATTGTGTGTTCATTTGAAATGAAAGGATTTAAATGTGAGAGAAAATAGTTAACTAGTGAGCTTAATTTGGTTTTAATTGCATCCTTGATGATTGACTATTTGGTGTTTAACACCCTCTTTCCCTCCTCATCCTCATCTTCATCCTCATCATCTTCATCTTCATCTCTCAACTTTCAGCTTCTTATTTAATCATAGGGTTTAGTTGTTTTCTTTTTTTTTCATCATCATGATTATTACAACAATTTACATTAGTTAGTTTAGTTACTGTTATTGAATTGAATTTGGAAGATGAGGATGAAGATGAGGATGATAAAGGTATGGGTGATGGAGAAAGATGGAAAATGTTAATGAAAACTTTTTTCTTCTTCTTTTTTTCCAGAAGGAAAATTTTCCCTCAGGCAAATTGATCATCTTCTTGGTGTCTATACGATAACTCATCCTGATTTACTAATAACTGGCAAATTGAAGCACAATCAATTTTAATTGTTACTCTCAATATCTACTGTGTATATATTTTAGTAAATCACAATCCAATTAACCGGTGGTGATCAACAATTAGCAGTTAACAACTTACCAAGTCAAGGAAAAACATACCAAGTTAATTACCAGGTTAAAACAGTTACCAATTCAAGAAGAAACTTTAATTGTTGTTACAATTTAAATTCAATGAAAAACCTTTTATATTTACCAATAGGTTGAAAGGTTAAATGAAAACAACAATTAGTCAACTATTGATTGAAAATCTAATTGTAGGTTTTACTTTTCCTTTCCTTTAATTGTTGTTTCGTTAATCATTTTAGGTTAATGATGATTAGTGTTTATTGCGAGATAAACATTGAGAATATTAAATTAGTTTTAATTTTCTTTTTATTTCTTTCTTAAACTTTTAATACCTCGAATGAGAATCAACAATTTAATTTAATTTTTCTCCAATTTGTTGTTTTTTATTCCTCTTAATAGTCACAATTAACTCGATTAACTGGAAAACATGGATCGTAATTGTTGTTTATGTTTCGATGATCAAAGAGATTGTGATTCCCTTGGAAATTTATTACTCCAATTGGATCGTTGCAATTGAACATGTTACATGTTTAAAACGTTTTATTATTCAATTTTAATTGAATTGTGATGATTATCTTCATGATCATGTTAACTAATCGTCATGTCGCTTTTAATCATCATGTTATTGATACGTTTCTATTTGGTGTTTATAGTTTTTTTCCTCTCTCATTTTCATCTTTGATTGTAAATGTGAACATCAAGTGTTTGCTATTTTATTATGGAAAGAAAATTATTCTCATTATTTTTTTTTTCGTCGTAAAAATATCAACAGAATCTTCAGGATTATCTTCACCTTTACATGATCAGATCATCAGAATCTTTTCAATATCTTTGTGAGAATATCTTATTCGCCTATTAAGTTGCCAAGCAACTTTTTCTCAGGGAGCTTAGAACTTTTTTTCTTCTTTATCTTCTTCTCAGTTTCATCTTCCATCATCATCATCATCATAATCATCATGTTCGCCTGATTAAAAAGATGAACATTCCAAAAACAGATCAGCATCATCTTCGGTTAACCAACATGTTTTACCTTCTCCATCTCTCTCTTACCTCATTTATTTTCATCATCTCTCATCAAGGTAACTCTCTCTCTCTCTCGCTCTCTGTTTTTATAATTATCTATCAATCTACATCTCACCATTTTGGTTTCCTCTTCATCTTTTTTTATATATTACATTTAATTCACTGACATTCCCACTGTGATAAAATAAGATATTATTTTCCTACTTGATATTATAATTATTCCTTAATAATAATCGTATTCATATCTATAAATTCATCGTTGCGAAAAGAGAAATGTTGAGCTTTAAAGTTAATTAGCATCATTTTCATCCTTTTACTTTACTTTTCTCTCTCATTCTCCATCTTCTTGATTAGTCTTGCTCTTAATTAACATCACTTTTTTCATGGGATCTTCTTATTCCTCCTTCTCTTCAAACTCCTTGACACCTTGGGTTTCCACCCTTCACCTTAAATATACACACAGAAACTCATGGGATATGATCATGATTATGATGATTATCTGTTAATGAGAAGAGAAAAGAACATGAAACATCATTAAAATTTCCAATTACAAACAATTAAGACTATTAATTGCTTCACTTTTCATCTAAATCTTCAAAAAAACTATTTTTGCCGCTTTTTTTGCGGTCAAAAAGTTTTGTTTACATTTCGATTACATTTGATGAATTAATTTCATAGATAATTGATGATCTAATTTAATTTGATTCGATTTGTTGATCGATGAAAACCGTGGAAAAATCAATTCTCTCCTAAATTGATTGTCAACAAATTAACTGTCCATTTGTAACTGGATTAAAGAGAATAGTTTTCAAAGTGAATCAAACTCTATTCCTTCATATTTCTATACATATATTGACCATCGAATCCATTAACTGACCAATGTCCAGAAAGTTTATCATTCTCTTTGTGTGTGTCCTAAAGAAAAAAGATGAATAAGAAAAAGAAATCAGGTAAATACATAAGATGAATAAAAGAGAAAAAATTAAAGTGAAAAATAGATAAAAGAGTAAAATTGGCAATCGAATTGAAAACATAAGGTGAAGATGAAAATGATGAGGATGAAGAGGTGACAAGAGAGAGAATGTGATTTACCTGGATAGAGAAATAATCTAATGATAAAGAGAAGAGAAGATGAATATTCTCTCTCTCTCTCTCTCTCTCTCTCTCTCTCTCTCTCTCTCTGTTAAATGATGACCATTGTCGATGATGAGAAAATCATTGAGACATTTTGACCGCGATCAAGGTGATTACCTGAGCGATTCAAGTTTACCTTTTGTCGCCTAAAGGCATTTAGCACACATAATACATATAATATCGTTTTCTATTGAAAATTGTTCTATTCTTATATTTAAGAAAAGAAGGAGAAAGAAAAAAATTACAATTCTTATATTCCATTTTCATGTTGATCGCAATTCTTGCATTTTACCTTTTTCTTGTTTAGCCAATTGATCAATTACCTTTAGACATAAATAGAAGTTGATAAAAAAACAACTTACCTGGACAATCATCAATGTCTATTATCAGGTAAATGCCCATTGAAAATGAGAGTCCATAGAGATATCCAAATAATAGTTGACCTTAGGTCATCGTATTCCTCATTCTCTCATCATAATCGTGGTCATTGTGGTCATCATTTTAAGTGAAAATGGAAATGATAGAAAAAAGGAAAGTTTTCTGTCAGGTAACTTGTCCTTTTCTCATCTTTATTTGATTATCCATGAATCTATTGGTTAACCACAGAAAACTCGAGGAGATTAAGGTAAGCTGGGTATGTATGATATAATATAAAAGAGAGATGAAGATGATAATGATGATAAAAGATGAAAATACTTAGGGAATGTTATGATTTAGATGATAATCTTTCAGGTAATAAAAATGGTTCAATGTTTTTCCATAAACAAACTCAATTGGAATATCAAAACATGTTGATATTTAATCAACTGTGTTAACTGTTTACATTAACGATGATTAAATTGATTGTCTATCAAAGTATATTAACAGTTAATTTCATCATGGAGATAATTTAAAATCAATTAAGCAATTAAATTGTACTTTCCCTCTCAATCTTTAACTATTAATAGTTTGCAGTTAATAAAAATCTAAACAAGATGAAGTAACAAAACAAAACAAAACAAAAAGTCAAAAGATAAACTTTGTATTAACTTTTTGCTTTGTTTCGAGAACCATTTAAACATTTAATTAACAACATCAGCTGTATCCTATTATCTGTTGATTGTTACAATCTAAATGCTGGGAATATCCTTGTTAGCACGTTAAAACTTATCTCTTGTATGAAAATCTCATAATATTTAGGATAAACTGTGTAACCACAGAATAATAATAATTATGAGAAAATTTTTTCCATCGTCAAATTATTTTCTTTCAATTAACGTCAACATTTGACAGAGAAAGAGAGAGAGAGAGAGGATGACAATTCTCTCTCTCTTCTTCATCTTCCTTTCTTTTGACACTTTCTCTGCTCGTTGTTCCCATTGAACGTGCTAATATCCAACGACCATTATCATTATCGTTATTAATATTATCATTAGTTTCCTTCCTTAGGGTTTTCCAATGGTTGTTCTTGGGTTCATGTTATCTAACTGATTCTGTAAATGATGATGATGAAAAAGTAAAATAAATGATTTTAAATCTAGGAACGTGTCAACCTTTTTATTACCCACCGTCTATTTAAGATGAATTTTCTTGGTTCATGGGAGCAAATATAACAATCGTTGTTGTTTAATAATATTGTGATGATCATCAACATCAACTAAAAGCTTGTGTGAAAGTGTTGAGCAGTTAAAGTTTCAATTGTGAGTATCCCATTGATGATGATAATGATGAGGACGATGACTTGGAAATTAATTTCAACCAACAATTTCCCATGAATCCATATCATGATAAAGCTATTCAATAAACAATAATACAAATTACATGTAATATATTATAATTATATGAATGAGAAATTAATTTGACTTCATTTACCATTTTTCTAAAGGCTTAATTGTTATAACCTTATTCTCCTTGTTATTAATAAACTTTCCTTGTTAAATTGTTATTAAATAATCTTTTTTTTTAACCAACGTTTGTTGTTGTTGATGATGATGGTTGATGATAAGCATATTAAGCAAAAAGCATAGATATAAATTCATTTTGATGATTAATTGTTTACAACCACAGCAATTAATTAATTATCCTTGTTCCTTGTTTCCTTTGCTTTTTTCTTGTTGTTTTCCTTCACGAAGCCAATTGTCCTTATCCAAATGTATTTTATATGTAATTTAATTATCCTTTTGACAACTACATTGTTTTAGAGAGAGAGAGAGAGAGAGAGAGAGAGAGAGAGAGATGAAAATAGATTAGTTATCGAACATTAAATTTCCATGGTTACTTTTTACTCTTTGGGTTGGATTGATGAATTTTCTTTCATTTAAGTTGATATTAAATCAACAATTAAGTTGATTGGAAGGGAAGAAGTTGTTGTTGTTGGTGTTTCTCTTATTGTGATCATGATTATCCAAGGAACAAAAAATCAGCAGTAGAAAAAGTCAACAATCAGTTAATGAATGATGGACTTTTAATGAGGTTCCGGTTTATTAGATTTTTTTGACGGCTTCTTGTTGGAATCTAGATAAATGAATGAAAAGAAAAAGAGGAGGATGAAGATGAAGATGAGGATAGAAAAGAAAAACTTCCAAAGTTATAATACAGAGTTGAGAATGGAAGAGAAAAGTTTATCAATACATTTTCTCTATGTAAGTTCAAAGAATTAGGAACTTTCTCTCTTTCTTTACTTTCTATGTGAAATCGAAGGAGGATGATAAGAAGATAGCCTAATGGATTGATGATGATGAAGATAGAAAGAGAGAGAGAATTACAAATACAAGACACTCTATGGAGGAAGGGGAAAGTTAAGTAAAAAATAAAAGGATATCCTAATGAATACCTTTACCATTTGGATGGAGAATGATAATAATAGTAACAATTTAGTAACTAAAATAAATTATAAGAGCTTTTTTCACATTGATCTACGTTTTTTTTACCATCATCAGTTTTGCATGAACAATATTAATAAAACTAACAACCAAACCAACAACAATAACAGTAACTCCATTACCCTGATGATAGTCAAGTATTAACTAAATTGGTAACAATAGTATATAACATAGATTACTATTACTCTTTGGGTCCATTGAAATCTGCTTAAAATAAAACTCTATGTATTTGTAAATACCCTAATAGAGAGGGAGAGAGATAAATACACAGGTAATCATTGTTATCATCAGTGAGTTTGTGTTACAATTGTTGGTTTTTTTTTACTCTGCGGTTGATATTAAGGCTAATATAGCAATCAACGGTTGGTAAAAGGACACACATGAAATTAAGTAAACAATTACTGATGGACTTGGGTAAAAAAAAGACACACAAACACTCAACGTTTACAACTCTTCCAATGGTCAGTGGGAATGGTCAGCGATTTGTAATATTACTCCTTCATCTTTGTGTATTTAGATTTACTTTTGATCTGGTTGATTATTTGGATTGTATGTTTTTCTCTCATCTCTTTTGAGTTGGATTGTTAAACTTGATTGTAATGGTTACACATTCATCTTTAACTTTAGATGATTTCACATGTTCTGTGTCTTTATCATCATCATTTATCTTTCTCTTTGTCTTCATCATCTCCATTTTTCCACCGATCTGTTTGTCTAACTTTGTTTAACCAAAAAGACGATTGATAATATTGTTAGTTAAACATTGATGATGTTCCTGTACTAATCTTCATCCTCCCTTTGGCTTTATCTTGTCTCTCTTTTTATCCTATGGAATTAGAATGATAATAATCATTATTGTTTATTAGATTTGTCCTTGGCCTTTCATGTTCCTGTTGACATAATGAGAAAAATAATGTAATAGTTAAAATTGAAGGGAGAAAAGCTCAATAGGAAAGGTAATACTTATCGAAAATGATGAGTCAATTTTATAATTGATGTAATATCATCAATTGAATATTGAAAATCAAGCAAGCAAAAGGAAAACATTTCATGATGTTGATGATGGTGAAGAGAAAAGGAAATATCAATAAAAAAAAAGAGTATTACATTTGTAAACATGGAGACAAAAAGTGTAACATCAATATCAATGGGAAAAAGAATTGAAAACCAACATCATCATTTATCCAAAATCCATAGAAAAAAAGTCAATGTAAAAAAGTAAATACACAAGACATTCAACCGATAATGTTAAGAGATGATGACGATGATGATGATGATGATGATCTATAGAAAGAAGAGAAAAAAAAATATAAGCTTTTGGATAAAATCAGAGTAATCACCAAGTACAATCATCATCAACATCGACATCATCATTATCCTTAAAAAGGTTGTTAATAATTTTCCATTAAATGTTGTATTACATGAGATGAAACTGAGATAGAAAATTGAATAAGAGAATATGAATTTCTCTTCATTTCCAATAAGAAGATAATGATCATGGTGATGATGATGAAGGAGATAATGGGAAGAGGCGAAGGTATCAATTTACTTACATTTCCATTGATTCTCTGGTTATTCTCAGTATTTTTCTCCATGTAAATGTATGGGTATTATTCAGCTCATGGAATAATCAATGGCTAGACAAAGAGAAAAAGAGAGAAAGTAAAAGTTAAAAGAGAAAAATATTTAATAAAAAAAAGAGAGAGAGAGAGAGAGGGAAACGATCATCATTTGTGTCATCATAATAGTTACCAAAAGAGAGATGATGATGATGATTGTGAAGATATTCCCATGGATCATGTTGTCTGATGATAAACACGATAAATTGAATCAAAGAAAAAGATCAAATAGACAACAATTTATGTGGAGAGAAAAAAAATCAAGTTAATCGATTGAATCAACGTTGACATTGTGATGATAAATTGTCATCAAAATGGCGAAAGAGAAGAAAAAATTTTCGAATTTAAAAAAAAGGTAAACAAAAAGTCACATGGAAAATGAGAGATTAGATAAGCGGGAAGAGAAAAAGATTAGACTTTTTCTTTTCACCAATTAATCATTTCGACCGTTTAATTAACGTTTATTTTAATTATTTTCTTAATTTATCACAGTGGCTAATTCGTCGGACGATTACTAATAACAAGAAGCGAAACAATTAAATGGGTGATCAATTTTGTTTCTTCTTCTCTTCGGTTAATCATAACCGTTTGTGTCTCCATTTTGTTTTTGTTTCTTTTCCATGATTTCATGTAAGTAGATCATTTATTTTCTCTTGATTTCATTTGATTCTATTTTTTATTCTTTTCTTATTTTCGCTTTGATTGTTGGAGTATATTCACTGATTAGACTGATATCCCAATTCTCTGGTCATTCTTTAGGTAACAATTTTCTATTTCTTTTTCTCTTCAGGCCTTATGATCTCATTACCATTTTGATATAGAATTTTTTTTCTCTTCTCTTTGACTTTAGCTTTTAATTAAGATGGACAATCAATATGGATAGAAAATTGTAACAGATGAGCTTGTGATAATCTCTTCCTCCTCCTCCTCTCTCTCTCATGGATGATAAATGGTAACCCAATGGTGGATTTTGATACAAATCGCTGGTGAGAAAAAAATTTCCTCATATTGACTAACTCTCTTGGACTCATTGTTTTCCCTCCATCTGATTTGTGTCTCCAGTTATTCCTGAGTATTTTTTTTTGTTGTTCTTAAGAAAAGAACAATGTTCCATCGTCATTTTCATCTCATCATCTTTTTCCATCATCAAGATAATCAATAGATTTATGAACATTTGGAATCAACCAACAGCCCAGAAAAATATAAAGAGAGATAACATTCAGATTTAATGTTACTTATGCAAAGTATTTTCTACCCTTTTTCCTCCTCATAATCATCTATTTATCTATTATCTATTATTTTCTTTAAACTTACAGATATACTATGGAAATTTGAAATTCTCTCACACATCATGAAGATATAAAAAGAATCATCATTATCACCATGGAAAAGCCAAAGGCCTGAAACTCAACTCTTTCCAAAAGTGAAAGTATCAAAGATAAAAAATAAGAGAAGAAGCAAAAATGATTCCAAACATACTTCATTTCTAATTTGATTGTTTTCTGCTCTTTTTCCACCAAACCTCTAAAATACTTTTCCATGGTATGTATTAGACTATTATTATCATTATTATTATTTGAATAAAACTAGTGTAGTGGCAACATCAACATCAACACCATCACCACCTCCAAGAACATCAACAAACCAAATGATTTTACACTGTTGTTACACTACCACCGCCACCATGATGATGATTATGATGATACCTCATGTCTAATAGTTTCTATCGTTTATTTTTTTTTTCCTTCCTTTCCCTAGGAACAACCCAAGGAATAGGAAGACATTGGGAAAGAAAAATCATCATGAGTAATATAAAAGGTTGGAAAATAGTAATGGTTTCAACAAAGAAAAAAAAATTCTGTATCTAAACCATTGCACCTCATCTATTTTCAATGATGAGTCCCTTCAGAATTTTTCTTCACATCATCATACACAAAGTGGATAGACATTGTGGAAAATAGTTCATTGTGTTACCCTCTCCCCCCTCTCTCTCTCTCTCACTTATCCCACCACACAGAAATAAGGTATATATTACACTTGCAGGGTGAATTTTATGACTTTCCACTCTCCCTCCAAATCTATGGCTCTTGTTATGGCCTCAATAACTTTCCTCTCACACTCGATCTCCTTTAATCCACCATATTCATTGCTTTTAATATTCAGTGTTTCTATCGTTAATTTCATCTTGACTTTACTTTTTATTACTCACAAATGTAACCCTTAGAAACACTTGCCATATAATAGACCAAACATTCATGAAGAGAATTGAATCTTTTCTGAATGAGAATGAATAATTCACTGCAATATAAATACACGCAAAGACATATCATCTTTTTATCATCTTTCTCTCTCACTAACTCTCATTTTCTTTCTCACTTTCTCTCTATATATATATTACAGGAGGAACAACTTAAAAAAGGTTAATCAAGATGATAAACATCAATGAGAAGCAGATGCAATCCCAATGTGTTTCCCTTTAAGGATGTTGAAGCCACGAGAAAAGATGGAGATAAAGATGAAGAAGAAAAAAAGTAAGAGGCTACACATTTAGCTCATCAATAAGAGTTTTTTTTCGCTTGGTATCAAATAAGTGAACATGATGTTGTGACAAGGATTTATTAATTTACTAATTGTTAAAAGTGACTAATGACAATTTGTTGTTGGCCAACAAGAACTGACATAAATTACTACATGAAAAAAAAAGAGGGACCATAGACTTTAAATCTGCTTCACTTCTGAACGATAATGATGATAAACAAGAGGCTAACCAATGATTATGATGATAATGATGATGATGAGATTTAACATGAATGAACAACGTTGGACTCAAGGTGATACTTCCGGAATAATTTTTCACCTTCTTTTAAATAAAGTAGACATTTTAATAGATGGTTTTGTATTAACATTGTTTTTCTCGTACTAGAAAAGCACCTTAATTTAATTCTCGTCATCATCCTTTATCTTGTCTTCCACTCAAAAGGGAGGATTGAATATGATGATGATGATGAAGAAAATTTTTAACACTGTTGTTAAATCATCGTATTGAACATTGTATTTTTTACCCTGTGGCTTGATAAGTAACTCGCTCATTAACCATTTCTCTCTCTCTCTCTCTCTCTCTCTCTCTCTCTCTCTCTCTCTCTCTCTCTCTCTCTCTCTCTCTCTCTCTCTCTCTCTCTCTCAGGGCCTACTCATTGAACAGCTAATGGTTAAGCTTATCAAGGATGGCAAAAAATGCTAAGGACGGGCCAATGAAGTTGATGATAATAATATTTTGTGACTAATTAGTACTCCAAACTAATTAACGTGCATAACAACATCACAAAGTTTACTATTTGATCACAGGGAAAAAAAGGAATCATGGATTTCAAGATCTCGTTTCTCATGCAAGAAAAGAGGAGGATATTAAGCTCATCTACACCATGATGATGATGATGAAGATGATGATCACCACCAACAAGGCAAAAGCGGAGGAGTAGGAGGGAAAGAGGAGGATGAGCAAATATTATTAATAATAATGATGATTATCATCATCATAATAATGAGGAGTAACTATTAGAGGATGGAGATGAAGATGAACAACAACAACAACGAAAATGAGGGAAAAGAAATTTAAAAAATGTATCATTACCTTATCTATCTGTTATTTCATCATCATAAAACTCAGATCACATCTTTAACAATCATCTTGATCATCATCATCATCATTCTCATCATCATCTTATGAGAGAAAGTACAGTAAAGGTGTGGTTAATGTTTTTATCTTCCTCATCATTATCATCTTTTTTATCCTTGACGATTTAAGACCTCACATTATGATGGAAGTACTTGAATTTTGACCACGACAAGTGAATCGTCCTCATCATCTCTTCATCTTGATGATTAACATAATCAATCCTGTTCATCTTATTAATTTATATTATACATTTAATATTTAATATCCAATTTCTTGACAAAATTAACACTAAATCCAGTTCCACAAAAAACGCCCAATATAAACAACTCCTTATGTTTAGGTCACAAATTATATCCCTTTATGATGTTGATTATGTTAATCATGATGAAGATGATGATGATGATAATGATTAAGATGACGTTTGTTGTTTAGACTCCCAAGACTAATGTAATCTTAAATTGATAATAAATTACCTTGATTATTATTAGTTTGAGATTCATGAATGAAATGGGAATCAGGATGTAGATTAGATGAAAATTTGTTGCTTCTTTAATGATACAACAAGAAAAAGTTAATTGTCGCTATTTGATTATTTCTTCACACTCACCTAACCATTTTCTTCATCAACAACATGATTCTGATCATTAACCCATCCCAAATTAATTGTTATTCTAACTACTCTCTGGCAATTGATCAACTTGTTTATTACCTGTAATCACTAATTATCTTTGAGCTAATTTACTTTTTCACTAATTTTTTTTTTCTCTTCTTTTTCTTTCTCTTTTAACTATTGTGAACAATTCTAGGGATTTTGTATTGGTCCAATGAATTTAACAATGACAATCAAGGATAAAGAATCTTGTTGAGCTTTAAATTACAATCAACTAATTATAATACTACATAAACAATTTGGAAAGAGAGAGAGAGAGGAAAAAAAGTCTCAAGACAATGTTGATTTCCCTGGATAAGGATTGAAGATTCAAGAAATTGGTTAAGAATCAAGGTGAACAATTGATAAAAAAAGAGAAGAAAACAAAAAATATATAATCTAATCTTGAAAATTCTGTATTCTTATTCCAACTTTTCTAGTTTTATCTCTCATGTTTGTTCAACCAAATCAACAACAATTTCACGGACCAACTGTTAACATGATGATGACCTGAGTTTTCAATATTCCAATTGCAGTAATACAATAACAGTGCAACAATTTAATAACATCATCAAGAGGTAAAGAGAGAGTAAGATGAACAAAATTTTTCAACTCTCGAATTGGTTTCATGGACTTTCAGGTTTACAATTAAAGTAACAAGATACAGATCAATTATACGAATTACTAAATCACTTTGATGGTCTAATTCAGGTAAAATTAATATCTGAATCACAGAATTGATTCTAACATCAAGATTTAAAGATTGATACAAATTCAGAAGCAAAGTTCTGGAAAGAGAGAAATTATCTCCTCTGAACAAATTGATCGATTTTTTTTCTCACCACTGAACGGAAATGCTAACAAAGTGTTACCTTGAAAATTTGAACTGAATTTACTCCCGATGAAGATGAAGATGATATTTTGGTCTTCAACAGTTTATCATCTTGATCCTTATCATCATTATCATCATTATCATCATCATGTTTACCTGTAAAGTCAATATTGTTTCAAGGTTTGTTGACCTACTTTTCATCAATGTTATTATTTTGTAATATCTGAGCTACTTAATGTCAGAATTTATTGATTACAATATGAGAAAATAATGTGATAATGTTAATTCAATTGTAATTGTTTAAAAATTACGATTTGATTAACGTATCCATGATTTTTAATTTGATTTGTTTCCATTGTTTAATTTTGTTTCTCATTTGACAGGTTGACCATTATGATTTATATTTACTTTTACCTTGGATGTTGATTGTTTATTGGAAAATCAATTTGAATCAATTATCATTATGCTAATCAATTTGGTCGTTTCTTATTTAATTGTTAATATTATCTAATTATTATGATAATTTAATGATTATTATTAATATTCCAGTGTGATGATTAGTGAAGGTATTAATTCATTATTCATATAATATTTTGTTAATCATCCGATGTTGATTATGATCATGTTGAAGGTTGAGTATTCACTTAATCATTACAATTAGAAATTACAATTAGACTTTTTTTCTTACAGAATTAACACTTATTTTCTTATTTCTCTTTAATTGTAGTTAATTGTTGCTGTAATATTTACATAATTACGATGGTGACGATGTAATTTTAATCGGTTATTTAATCAAATTTGGTTAATCAATCAAGAAGCATAAACAACATTAGATGATGATTATGTTAATTAAATGGACTTTAAGGGTTTGTATTATAATGAAATCAAGAGAAATTAATTATTCTCATCAATTAATCACTAGAATTAATAATTTAAAATGAGATTAAATATTCATTTTAATGATTAAGATTCTGCCGAGTAACAATTTAACATCCTAATCAAGTTAAGTCTTGTTTAAGTGTCCGAATAAATCAACAATTAAATTAAATCATTGATTTAATTTGAATTGTCACATTTTACTATTTTCCTCTGGAAATTAAATTAACTGATTGTTGAGTTAAATTCAATTTTCTTTACGATTACAATTTATTTAAATCTAATTATCTTTTTTGTTTCTTCCTTACAGTTTTTACAAACACACAATTAATTTAAATTGTTTACAATTTAACAAGAAACTTATCCCAGCAATCAACCAAATCGGAAAATCAACAACGCTAATCAATTGAGAAAGTTAAATTGTTATCATTGTGAATTTGGTAATAATAATTGAAGGATTGGCTTTGATCATTAATAAGACTTAATAATTAACTAATGATACAGAATCATTAAATTGTATATAATTTATAAATTAATGTTTCATTTTTAAAATTAATCATCAGTGATGACAAGATAAACTTGTCATCGTAATTATAATTATCATTATGATTGTGATCACTAATCATATTTGAAATTAAGCCTTTTTTTACACAATGATAATAATCATGGAATCACAATTAACTTATTAACCATTGGGAAGATCATAATGAAAAACGAGTAAGAAAAGTTCAATTGATTAATTGTTGTTGATCACAATTGATTTTCATCCATTTAATTATGATCATAACTCATATGATAATTAATCTTATCCTTTTTTTTATTGTTATAATTTGAAGACAAATCAACAATTTATGTCAAAGTTAATTCAATTAACTTATTGATTGATAATTAATGTTTTTTTTTCTTCTAATTTTAATCATCATTACAGAACCAAACTGACAACAATTAACCCCGTTGATTAATGTAACCACGAGGACAATCAATTGATTTCAACATGTAAGGTAAATATTACTAATCAATATCATTAAATTGTAATCATTTTTATTGTTTTTCATTGACACTCAATTAACAATTTAATTAGAAACGTGATAACTTGATAATCATTATCATTTTGATAATAACAATTAACGATCAATGATAATAACGATTTAAATTGAATAAAATGATGACAGGAAAATATTTTAACCTTTGTTTACTGTTGGTAAACAATTTAGAAAACTTAATTAACTTTAACGATTGACGATTGATTGACAGTAATTTAAGGTAATTACAATTTAAGATAATCAAGTAAATTTTTTCTTCTTCTCAACATTATGATTGTGCTTTGATTCCTTAATTTAGTTCCAGGTTAATGTGTAACCCTCTTGATTACGATTTAATCTGATATTTGGTATTTAAGATTATCTCATTCTCTCTCTCTCTCTAATCAACTCTCTTAATTCACCTTAATTATCATTATTAATTTTCCTCTTTCCATCTCTCTCTTTCTCTAGCAGTTAACATTTCTCAGGATGTAATTTAATTCCCCAATAATCAAGCCAATAATTGACAATGATTAGAGTTGATAACAAGATGGATTCCAATGGGTTTACCATTGATTATTTAACAACTTCATCAATCTTATATTTTTTATCTTCACCTTATCTTCTTGCTGGTTGATACTTTTCCATCTTCCTAATCAATATAATGATAATCATCATCATCTTTATCATCATTATTATCTTCATCCGTCAGAAAGTCACATCATCTCTTTTCACGATCTTGTTTCTTTTTTTCTGGTCAATTTAAGAATCTAAAGCAAAACTGTTTCTCTTTCTCTCTCTCATTCTGTCCCTTGTGATGTCCAATTAGTGGACAGAAGAAGATAAAGATGATGATGATGATGAAAATTTCTGTAATGATGATAATCTTAAAGAGGAAAAAGAAGATGAAAGATGGAAGATGAAGGATACGAAAGAACCTGAGAATGAGAGTTGATAGTGAATAAGGTGAAGATTAAAATTATCTTTGATTCGATATCAATGTTATATGAAATGTTTTCCAGATTCTTGCATTTGATATTTGAGATGAACAATTTTCATAAATATGACTCAATTTGAGATGATTTAATGATCTGAATTATCATGATAATCATCATGCTGATTATTTCCATCAATTTACAAAGTAAGATGATCAGCCATTAGAAAGTAAAAGTCAACACTAACAAGGATGAGGATAAACTGATGCTGATGATGATTTTTGACCACCGTTGGAAATGTTCATTGTATTGAGACGGTAAATAAATATTGATGATGAACTGGATTTGTGAATCGAGCTGAATTGCCCGAGGGTGGATAAAGTGTAAACCAGAAATCCTTGGAAAAAGAAAACAAGAAAGGACAAAAAGACATAGAAAATGACAGATTGAAATGCAAGAGATTGAAAGAGAAGATGATTTAACTTTTCTCTCTCTCTCTCTCTTTAAATGCCTCGGATGTTAATTTAAGGATAAAGTTTCAAAATATCATCTCTCCATCATCTTACTCTCAATGTCAACAAGATGAAACACTTAAATGAGTAAACTTTACAGAGAGAGGGAACTGACATACCGCCGGGGTTATCGGATAGTGTAAAAAAATGGATTCAGTAATTGAGGAGGGTGATGGTTACCGAGACGAGAATCAGTAAAAAGGTAGCAACAGGATCATCAACAGAAGCAACTTCTCAACTTGTTCAACATCATCTTCATCTTCATCATCATTATCATCTGCTAGATGAAAGTAAATATTAAACATGATGATCAACAGCAAACCCCAAAAATGATATACGATATCGTAGGAGGAGGATGAGGATGAGGAGAGAGGAGGTGAAATACATTTTACTTGTTAACCCGATGACATTTTTCCTCCTCCTGTTTTTTGTGTACATTTAGCTGATTACATAGTTATCTTCATCTTCATCATCATCATTTTACATATATTAAGACAAACAACAACAACAACAACAACAACGACATCAACCAAGGTGAAATCTCAATACAAAAGGTAAAAGAAAACAAAATCTACTTTAACCTTAAAATTGCCGAGAGCAGATTTAGTTTTATCCTAACAATCACATTGCATTTACCTGGAAAATAAAACATTACCTGGATTTTACCTTTTCTGCTCTGGCTACTCAACTAATAACAATGGCGGTGATGGTGGTGAGGGTAAGGATGAAGGTGGTGGATTGTAGAGAGAGAGAGAGAGAGAGAGAGAGAGAGAGAGTAACTACAAGATACTGCATCTGACAGGATGAACAACATGAAGTAAACAAAAAAAGGATGAGGATGAAAATACAATAATAAAGGAGGAAGGAAGCCAAGTGAGTATTATCATGATACTGATGATGATTATTATTATTGTTATTAAAAAAAAGTAAAGGTTTCCATTTACAATTAAACTCTTAAACATGTGATATTGTAAATCGTTGTTATTTATTTACAAACGTAAAAGTAAATAATAAACAATATATATTATCTTGAACATGAAATGAAGCACGCAAAGGTAAAGGTATTCACAGGTAAATTTTGCTGTTTATTTGTTTCCTTATGAACGCAATCAATGGTAATAATTGTAATAATAATGATAATACATGAGGTTACCGTTGATTGTTATACTCATTCAATTCATTTGCAAATTATTTATTTCATCTTATTTAATAGATTCATGTTTGGTTCTTGTATTACTGGTTTCTTCATGGTGGATGATTATGAGAGAGAGAGAATCATCATCTGCATCTTTATCTGATGATGATGATGAAAGAGGAGGATTAACAATGGAGAAGATGATAAAGAGGATAAATAATGATTATCGATGAATATTTTTTTCCATGGAACATGTTTCTTACCTGAGAGAAGATAATATCAAACTTTTTTGCTTCTTTCGTCTTGATTGTTAACATTCATTGTTAATCTGATTGTTCATCAAGCAATTAATACTTTACTGATTGTGTAAATTTTTTTAACAACAGTAATTGTGATCAAGTTAATCATGAACTTTTGTATTCGTTATCGTGTGTGAGTATTTAAAAGGTAAATCCATAGGAAAGATAATGATAACAATGGAGGAGGGAAATTGAAAGGAACAGGAAAAGATGCTCCCCTTTTTCCTCTCTCTCTCTCTCTCTGTTTTTATCTTCATCTTTTACTTACCTGGTGATGAAAGGTGATTCAAAAACGATGATGATGATATAATGATCATTATCATAGATGTAATTATAATTATACCTTGATAATGAATTTATTTCTCTCTTTTTGTTATGGTTTTATATTGTTTCCGATTCACATTGGATTTTGATATTATTATTATTGCAACGTACGATTTATCATCATTTTCATCATCATCATCATCAACAGCATATGATTGCTGATATAATAATATGAAAATCGTCACCCGTCTGTGAACATCTTTGAGGAGGTGGTGGAGATGATGAAGGAAGAGGAGGAAGACAAGTGAGAACCTGGAAGAGGATATAAAGAGAATATGAAAAGAGATGAAGAGACAGATTAACTGAGAGGAAGATGAATAAATTTCATTTTTATTATTCGATGATGATGATGATGATGATCAGAGGAAGAAAGAAAAAAGCAATTGAATGATCAGGAGGTGGAAGAAGAGGAGTAAAGGGAGGAGGAGGAGGTAAAAGGAAGACAAAGAAGATAAAGAAGATGAGGAAGATCCGGAATTTTCAAGTTAAACCAAAAAAGTAAAAGGAGTGGCTGGTTTACTATGATAATAAATGTACATCTAGATACAAACACTCACACACGCATAGTGATAATGATAAACAGCAAGAAGATGAAGGATAGATGATGAAGATGATTTTTCATGTTCGCATTCTGATGATGATAAAAATGGAGATGAGGGAAAGTAAAGGGATATGATGATGGAAGGGGCTGATCCCACAGAGAGAGAGAGAGAGAGAGAGAGACAATTGATGCTGGACTAGAAAAGGTTGTTGTCTTTTATCATGAAAATTTGAATGATTTACGTTTGAAAACCTTAATTCATCTTGGTAGAATGAGAGAGAAAGGGATAAACTACTGATCTTCATCATCATCTTCAACCTTATCATCCTAATGATACTTAATTTTAGGAGCAGCTATTAAATTACAATGGTTACGAACATGAATACACCATAAACTACATTCTGTGGGCGGAAGAAATTTCTTGGAGGCTTTTTTTCATCATTTTCCATCATCATCTTCACGTCATCATTATTATCATCATCATCATCCTCATCTGGTCAACCCCTTGATCAAATTCAGTTGCGCCTTGGAATTTATATAAATTGACTGTTGATCAACATGACGTAGAGATGAGAAATTAGATTGTAGTAGAAAGTTCAATGGAAATGAAGGAGATTCAGTGTTATTCAAATGTCTCTTGAATGGGCAACAATGAAAGTGATGAAAAGAAAGTGGAATAAAATTACTCGGAGATTTTCATCTTATTTTCACCTTGGAAGAGATTCAATTGTCAAGGAGGAAGAGAAAGAAGGATTAATGGACAGTGTGAAAGAGGATGAAAGAGTTAGATGATTAATCTAAATGTAAAGGCCGTTAAAGAGTCTATTTCATGATGGACATTATAAGATGACCACTATTTGTGTTGGTCATCAATGAGAAATAAAAGTCGATTGGAATCATTAGTTTCACAATCAATGAGATGGAATTAGAAACTTTTTTTGTTGCTACGAAACAGAGAGAGAGAGAGAGAGAAGAAAAAAGAAAATGAAGTTTATCATCATCTCGTAAAATTTATTGACGAAAGGCAATTATCTTCCTCCTCCTCTTCATCTTCATCAGGATAATTATCTTCATCTTCATCAAAACTCATTTCCATAAGTGTCCAAGCTTAAAAAATTGACTAATCTACTCCAAGGTTAGATCGACCTCATCAACAGAATGATGAATAATTATCTTACCATTGACTCCCAAAGGAATTTATCTTCATCATCATCATCATCATCATCATCATTCATGTAATATCATTTATCCTCATCCTTGAATCTATTTCCGTTGAACAAAATGATTTAGTTCTGATTGTTAATGGTGATTAAATGAGAAGCCAATTCAAAGTAAAAGCCAATTGAATGTATTTCAAATGTAAACATCAAAAATCAATTTAATTCAGACAATCAACTAACAACAATAACAATTTAAACTGTTAACAATTAAAAACAATCACAATTATTCAACCTTTGTTAATTTAAGCAGAAATCAATTAAATCCCATTGAGATTATAGTTGAACGGAAATTAATTGCTAATCAACATGATAGATTTGATTCAGTTTTGATTAAAATGATCAAGAAAAAAAAACTGGTAACAATTAACTAGGGGACAATTAATTCAGGTGAAAAGTGATAACAATTGTTACGAATTGATAATCATTATCAAGGTTGAACAATTAACTAATGAAACTAAATTAAAACTTTTTGATTGTTGATTTTATATCATTCGTTATGATCATGGTAATCAAATTAAGAAATGATTACGTTGAGAGTTGATTTAATTTGTAACAATTAGATTTCAATTGTGATTGCTACTAACAATCAAAGGAGTAAATGAGTTGATTATCAAGTTGATTAAATCAACTAATAAGGTTAATCAATCCTGGTTGATTGTTGAATCTAACGTTCATCTGATTGTTGTTATTCAATAATTGGAGAGCAATTTATTTACGATGATAATTGAATCAAATCAATTGATAATCTTAAGTTGTTATTACAATTACAATCTAAGTAATACAAAAATAACAATTACTCAACTGAATCAATTGATAAAAGTACAACAATTAGATTAATAGTAAAGTGATTGATTAATTATTCAATCGTTAATCATTATCACAAACGATTGAGATAATCAACTAATCCAAACGAATTAATTTGTTGCTGTTTAATTTAAATTATTCATGGAAACAGAGTTACAATATAAATTAGTCAATGAATTGACAATTAATAGACAAACAGTTGATTGTAGTTAACAATTAATGGACAATTAAAGGGCCTCAATGTTGTAGCATTACAAATATTATATGATTAAGGTTTTAATTATTAGTTTAAATGACAACCTTTGGGTTTACAATTTAATCACAATCAATAATGATAATCACACCTTAAGGTTATCTTTGAACAACAATTAATGATTAATTAACAATCAGGGTAAAAAATCAAGGTAACAATTGTCACACTCAATATAATGATATATCTTGTCACCTTTTCCTCTTTGATTGTAAACAATTAACATGAACAATTAATTATGATGATGAGAAAAATTAATTTCAATTGTTTTCAAAAGTTTTCCAATCAATTTGTTTTGAAACAAATTTTAACTTTATTGATAATTGATTGTTGATCAATTGATCAAGTTAATCAAGTTAAACTTTACTCATTAAGGTGGAGTTGATTAAGATAATTAATAATAATACAACAATAAACCTGACATTGACCCTCATCAACAATTTAAAGTTAATTATCTCTAAATAGTGAACTCAATTCATTGATTGTTTTTTTCATTTTCTCGCCTCTAAATTGTTAATAATAGTTAATCAATATCGGATAATAAACCCAACCCTTAATTAAGGATAAGAAGGGATAATCAATTAATTGTTGGAGAAGGATATTGATGGGAAAGAGAGAGAGAGAGAGAAATGATTAACAAAAGTGACAGAAAATCAGGTTAATTGGAATCGCAATGAATTTCGGATATGAGAAATTCTGGAAGATTAAGATTCAGAGGATGAGAGATATTAATATCCGTTTAGAATTCTTGATTATGATTATGATTAGAATGATGATTTAGCGATAATATCAAATGTTTATCTTTCATATTCTGTTGTTGTTGTTGTTAGATTTATGATCTAGATTAATTCTGACTCGAGATTGTGAAGATTAATCTGTTGAACGAAAATTTCATCAATATAAATCATCGATCGGTTGATAATCTATCCACATTCACCATGGAAGCTGATTAATATTATTGTAATTCGTTGATATTATTTTGCTCCTCACGAATTATGAAAATATGATGATCATCTTGAGAGAGGATAAAAAATTATCTTCCAATTATTCATTTACCATTTCGCTGAATGGTGATCACAATTTTCTCGTTGAATGAATGAGTTAAGTGTCGATTGATTTCATAATGATGATGATGATAATTCCTGTGAAGATAAAGATGATGATAAGAATGATAATGATGAGGATGAGGATGAAGAGGTGGATGGTTGATTGGAATGAGGAAAAAAAACATTGAGAGAGAAAAGGCAAAAATGAGACAAGAGCAATTGAGTTTCAGGGAATCTCATGATTATATGATTGATTGAATCTTTCTCAGATTTAATCTTCTCTCTAGAAACAAAAAACACATCCACAGTAATTTGATGATGATAACGATGATGATGATGATGATAATAACGTAGAAAGTAAGTCAAGTGAAAGTGAAAGCCAAAAAATATTAAACCACAAGCATCGGAATAACTGATGTGAGATTGAAAGTAAATGGGGTTAACACATTGATCAGATGAAGAAAATGATTTTCATCCTTTTCGATATAATAAATCATGTTATCATCAAGGAAGAAGATGAGGATGAGAGAGATGGAGAGAGAGAGAGAGAGAGAGAGAGTAATGATGATCAAATCAAATTATTCGGCAATAATTTGTGTTGCATATGTAATCAGGAATGATAATCAACAATCAGATCGTCTTTAAATATCAAAATCGTAGATTAATTTGGGGAAGAATAAGAAAATCAATGAAAACATTTCCATTTAGAGATTTGGCTACTTTACATCATCATTTCCGTTTCCTTTTCCCTCCTTCTGACTCTGAAATCAATTGATAATAAATCAAACCAGAGACCAATTCCAATTCAAGGCTAATATCAACTTTTACTATTGGAAAATCAATAATGATCAAGTGAAGACATTTAAGAATCAATTTGATGTTTAATAATCAAAAGAAAAAAAAATTGATCGAAATGAAATTTTTTTCCTAAATTTGAAAAATATAAAATTCCAAATCATCAAATCAATAATATTATCATTAGGATAATGTCATAACTTTACCTGTGACCTGAATTTTAATAATCTGCAGGTATATTGGTCATCATAAATTGTCCGAAAAGGTAATCACTTGTTATTATAGTTGACCAAAAATCAGTTGACATGATGGTCAATATGGTAATGGGAAAATTGTATTAACAAGTGAATGGAAAAAAATCCGAGTCAATTGAATGTGTCACCGATTGTTAATACGATCGTTAATTACAATTAACTTGAACATTATGTTAATAGAAATGGTAAACAGATAAATTTGATTGAGAAAAAAATTCTCTCTCAAAAGTTAATCAAGAAACGAAATGATTTAACAACAATTTAATAATAGTTACATATCATGTTATGTGTTATTAGGATTTCCAATGTTGTTGACCTAATGTTGACCATTGTTGGTGGTGAATTTTTGATTGTTGTTAGTTGATTGTTAACCATAATTGCTATTAAAACCATCACACGGTTTAATAAGCGAGTAAATTGTAAATTATGTTAACCAAATTGACTGGAAAATTAATGATAATTTCAATTGAATAATCAAAATTACACCAACACTCAAATTCAATAGTTAATCAATATGAATAAAGGTCGAGAAAAAAAAATTCAGGACAATTTATTGATTGTTGAAGATTGACTTTTATCACAGCAACAACAACAAACTTAATCAATTGGTGTATTTCAAACAATCAACTAACTAATTCAAACTATTAACAATTTAGTTTATAAATGGAATCGCAAAATTTAAACTCTATCATTAACTGTTACTTTTGATTATCTTATTTTGTCATTCATTTGATTTACTGATTGTTGTGAATTTATTTACCTTTTTTTCAATCATTATTCATTGATTGTTGGCCTGTTAATTGTTACATAACTGTAAATCATTTACAATTTAATTCATTAACATTTCCGATCCAATTGTTGGGATTGGAAACTTTTTTTTTCATTCACTCGATCCCATTGTTGTTACTCATATTCAATTTAATGGTAACAATTTTAATTGTGTTCATTTGATTATATTGTTCAGATTTACTTGTTAATTGTGATTTTCATTTTCATTTGAAAATCATAAATCAACTGGTAATCAAATTTGATCATTATTGTTATTATTGAAAACTTTAATGTACCAAAAGTAATGTAAATAGATTGAGATTGTCCAACAATCATTAAGTAATCATTAATCAATCAGATGATTAATAAATGGTTATTAGTAGTTATATCAATGAGAATTTGATTAAATTAATTGTCATTGGAAATTTGTATCAAATTCAATTTTTAGGCAGATTTGGTCTTCATCCTTAACTTAATTAATCACAATTGACTGATTATAATCAAATCAAATCAAATCAAATCAAATCAAGTCAACGAAATTGAAAAATTTTGAAAAAAAAGTTACAATTAAATCATTTCTAATGATAATCTAATCATATCATTCAGACAATGAAAAAAAAGTTAATGATTAACTTAGTCATTGACTCGTTAATTCAGTAAACTTTGTTGATTGTGATCTAATTGTAATCAAGTTGAACAGTAACCAAATTAAATTCATGGGTCTTTGGATTCATAAAATCAGAAAGCAAAGTTAATATGATTTACTATTTAGTTACGATTAATAGAAAATCAAATGATATTAATTCATGTTAACAATCAAAAAATTGCTGATTAAGATTAACCATATGATGGAAACTGAATCAAATTTAATCATGATAAAGATTAGAAAAGATAATTAATAATAAAAAAAAGTGAAAATCAATTGAAATCAAATGTAAATATAATCAAAATATTTGCTCACTAAAGTAAATATTATCATCCAAGTTGATGACAATCTATAAATTGTTGATTTAAAATCGTAATCAAATATCATGATTAGTAATCATAATTTACTATTTACAATTAAAATCAATTCCCCAATGTTTGTTTACCTTTAGAAAGATAGTTTATCAATGATGAAGATGAAAAGTATAAGAAGATTAAATATCATCATCATCATCTTTCATCTTCCATGTTAATGATAATATTTCATCTTCTTAACTCTTTTCCTCCTCATCCTTTCATCATTTGCCTACGGGAGATGCTGATGAAGATAAACAATTAAGCCACAACAATTTAAATGATTAACAATCTAACCCTTTCCTTCAATTGTTAACATTTGATTGTAGCTCAATTTTCAGAGATAATATTTGATTAGTTGAACATTTTTCGTTCCTAATCATTATGATTATTGTTGTTATTTATTGTTTAAGACATTTCATTTGATAATATCATCATCATCATTATATTTAATAAAATAATCATGATGATAATAAAGAAATGATGTCAACCAGAAAAAAAAACTGGTTAATATTATTTTTCCTCAGGGCATGTTACCCATACGAGAGGAAAAAACAAAATTTCAATAACAATGAACACTAACAAGCCTTCATTTTATATCTCATGTTATTAATAATCATTATCATCATGATAATAAACAAATCGATGATGATAATGATGATGATGATGATGATGTATTCTTGGTGGAAGATGATGAGGAAGAGGAAAAAAACGAAAAGAGAATTATTTTCATCTCATTTTCTATCCGATTCTCTCATGAGATTTCATGAGAATCCTTTTCATTTTTGTTTATTCCTAATCCGATTCAGTTAACCATAAAAACGATTGGTTTTAACCATTTGAATCTTTTTCCAATTACAAGAAGATGAAGAAGATGATGATGATCATCATCATCATGATAATGCTAAAGATGAAGATGAAGACAGGGAGTGAGATTTTCCTTTGCTAACATCAATTTAACTCTCAGTTGGTGATGATTTTATTTGTACAATTTTTTTCATCTTTTCTCAGTGGTTTTCATTGTTATTAAATTAATTTTATTCCTTGATTGTTATTGTTGATTTATCCAAAACGATCAACATAATAATCAAGATAAGTTGATGTTATCATTTGTTTATTATCACTTTGGATGGAAAGGAAAAACAAAGTTGATTGTTTCCAAATTTTCATTCCTCATGAGATTCAACAATTTTTCATGATAATATCATGGTGATCATGAACATGATGATGTTTCCATTATCATTCAATGAGTTTAATGTTGTTTTTTTGACAACAAATGATGATGATAATCATTCAGATGATTTGATTTCTATTCAAATGAAATCGCATTTTGTTTACTCATCAGAAAATGTATCACAATCAACATCTTTGTTGACATTATATTTACTCTGTCATGTTGATAGTAGTTGCATTTACCATTTAACAAAAAGTACATGTATCATCATCGCCCCAGGCACTTTAATCATTTAAAAAGGGAGTAAAATTATGAGGAATCCATATAAATATATCAGAGACATTTTATCATCTTCATCATCATCTTCCTTTATCATCCTTTTGCATTTAGATTTGGCCTATCAAGTAGCCGCAGGCGATAATGTTACTTGTCCCCAGTTTGTTGTTGTTGTTGATGATGATGATGATGATTTACTGTTGATTTTCATTCAGAATCCATGATGATTATCATCATGATGATAATTCTTGTTCAACTTGTTGTTTTTATCTTTGTTTTTACTTCTTCAATGATATAAAACATTATTCAACAATCACACTGATTGTAATACAAGATTGTCTTTCATTTTGGTATCAAAAAAGTAAATCAAATATACTTGTTACTATTTAGTTAATGTAGATGATGATGAGAATGATAAGTTATCCTCATCATCATCTTTTTCCCTGCAATGTGACGATCTGTGGAGATAAATCCTGTAACTTGGATCATGATGAATATGTTTTATTTATCAGGAATCACAGTCCAAGTAAATAATAAGATAAACAATAAAAGGATAACAAAATTAATCGCCTCCGGGGTAATATATTGTTATCGATACTTGATATTGTCAAGTTAACATTTTTTCCGATTTTTTTGCCAGAAAATTAATAGATTGTTGATTTTCCAGGTTGATTCTAATAATAGAAAAAAAGTTATATATTAGATTATATCAAAATTAAGATGATTAAGTGTTGAGAATTAATAGATTGTAAGAGAGAGAGAGAGAGAGAGAGAGAGAAAAAAAAATCTCAACAAGATGCAAATGAGAATATAAAAAAATAGGAATAGATAATGATGATTATGATGATGATGATGAGGATGATTATTATATTGATTACCTTGTTATAATGGTGGATCATTTAAATTGTTAACAAGATAATTTAATTCTGGTGAGTAAATAATAACTTTCACAATGGTAACAGTTAAGGTAAGAAAAAGGGTTCAAGGGTTTGGATAGACATTAATTGAATCATTAAAATGTTACCTTGATAAGGTGAATATAAGTTTTGTTGATTAACAGGAATCAACAAAATTGATGATACAACGATTATCATCATTATCCTTCATCAGTATAAGTTACTATTGATCATGATAATTATAGTTAAGTAAATATTAATACACTAAATTAATGTATTAAGTAAATTTACATTGAGCAGTTATCATCAATTCAACGTTTTTTTTTGTTGTTAATTTATCCTCCTCCTTGCTCTTAATCATCATCATCATTATCACTTTGCTCCTCCTTTGATATTAATACATTAAATGAGAGAGGGAGAGAGAGAGAGAAACTTGTTAATAACTTTTTTTTCTCCATGATGATAAGTATCATTTTTCATCCTCATCTCCATCATCATTATCATCATATGCAAAGTAAAATCTGTTGCGTGATTTGATTGTTGATTGTTGATCCAATAATCAGGGAGAGAGAACAGGAAAATGTGATGTTACTTTGATTCATCTTTTTACTTCAATTTTGCCAATTAACTATTCCCTGTAAATTGTAACAATAATAATGATTGGGCAAGAGTTATGATCCTGATGATGATCATCGGTAATGTACAGGCACGAAAATCCATTTGATAGTTTGATGAATATAAAAGATCAGGTTGGACATATCATCTTCATCAGTTGATTGTATTAATGGATTATCATCATCATCACCATAACCATCCACCCACAACCAACATCCTTAGCTTTTCATCTGATTTTGATTTGATTTTCCTCCTCTTTTCCTTTGATTCTTTGTAAATTATGTGATGTATAACATAATATAAATCAGATGATTTGATTTGACAGGTTTCAACATAATATATCAGTTTTACCCTTGGAGCAATTTAATAACAACGGAAAGTGAATGAGAGAGAGAGAGATAACTGGTCACCACGATCAATTGTTTACTTTTAAGACAATTTTTTCCCATAGATGATCATTGATGATGCTTATGATGATCATCATCATTTCGACTTTTTTTCTTTGACATTTTATGGAACATTTTTCTTGTCTCTCTTTCTGTACATTACGATTCTTGATTCGGATGCAGGTTAACCATTATAACGGTTTCTTTGATTCTTTTCCAATGCTTTTACTTGATTTTAGTTTCTCATTCTCGTGATAATGATGATGGTGATGATGAAGATGATGATGATACAAATGGATTAGGGTAACATAGTCCTATTAAAGTTTCTTCCTGTTTGCTTGTTGTCTTCCTATTGTATTGATGACCATGATGTCGATGATGATGATGAGAAAAATAATGATCAGAATTGGATTCATTGTATAAAAGGCAATGATTACAAGAACATTTAACCATAAAAACCAATTGGAAATGAAAGTCTAAGCTGACAATTGATATACTTACAATTTTGTTTTTCTTTTACATTTTCGATCCTTTTTAATATTAGATTATCATCATCAATCGACTCCATTGGATAAGTGAGTGAGATTGAGTAGGTCAATCTGATCGATTCTTATTTAACTTATTGTAATAATAACAAATAATGATGATAATAACTTGAAAAGATGATTAACTTGATTATATGGATTCCATTACAATCTTCATGTTTCAATCGTTTCTTACATAAATCCCACCTTGATAGTGATTATTACTTAATGATGACAGGAAATTGATGTTACCATGTTTAAAAATCCACTAAATGCTCAATAACAACATCCGGTATCTTCCAATGTACCATGACCATTAAATAGACAGAAAGATGAAGATAAACAATCCTGTGTAATGTAATAGTAGTTTAAATAAATAGGTTGAATTAAATTATTATCACCATGATGATGAAGATGATGATGATGATTATCATTGAGAAAAACATGTATAATAAATGTAATGTTATCTTTCAACGATAAAAGACTCATCAACACATATAAACATGTAATTTAGTTAACTGAATTATCCAAGATCATCAACAACTCACCAGAATTAATATATTCACTTGTAAATCAAAATATATGTATAAACATATCCATTAACTTGAATACTCACAACTCAGAATTAAATTCAGAGAGAGAGAGAGAAACTAAACTAACGAAATCAATGAAACTGATTCAGTTTTCTCATTGGAAATTTTGATTAGTTGCATTTACAAGGTAGTTAATTAATTGTATCAAGTCAACAATTAATCTTTCTCATCCATTGACCAACAATTATATAAATAGTAAATCCATTGATAGATAAACATATTATTATGTAACTCTCCTTGTAACGAAAGTAAGTTGATTGTAATCAATTTCCCTTGGGTGATTGTGGACAATTTGAACACGACATTTAATGTTAGGTATCCATATAGTTAATGATATTATCTGGTTAAAGAAAGAGAGAGAGAGAGAGAGAGAGAAAAGTAAATTACAAATTGAATACAAGACTCAAATTGATTGTAAACTTATGTTAATTGTTAACCTTAACTAATGTAGGGTTTACTTGTTTTTGGTGTTGTTAGAATTGGGTTTCAACAATTAAGAATTACATTGATGTGTAACTGCTTTTAGATATACATACATGAATATCCATCATTAATCAAACACAATCAATCATAATTTACTTTTTGTTTCTTTCTCCATCAATGAAATGTATTGAATCAACAACGATAATAATAATAACTCGTTAACTAGTTTGTATTAATGTTTATGAGGAAAATGTTTCTCTCCACAAAATGAAAACACCTACAGTTTTTTTTCCTCCTCTTTATTCATCATCAGTTGGTTTTAATAATCAGTAAATTGTTGTTAAATCTAAAGAAGAATAGAAGAAAATTATTAGTAAACAGTAAGAATATCACTTATATGTAATAATAATAAGCGAAAGTAAATTTACTCAATCATATGATAGAAAAGGAGAAAAGCCTAACAAGTCTACTTACCATTTCTACTCCAGTGGAACAATTAATGTTAATTAACCGATTAATTGTCACTCATGGTCCATATTCTTTTAATCTTATCATTTAGATAATCATCTTCTTCATCTCGTTCATCAGGATTAATCAATTAAAGATGATAAGGGTTAATAACAATCAAGTTAATAGACAGAAACGTATTTGGGGAAACACTGATTGTCCAGAAAACAAGAGTTAATCAACCAAATGGTCATTAGTTTAATTTTTTCATTAGCTCAGTAGAATCAATCATTAACTAGAGAAGAACATGAAACAATTAACTGTTTAAAGAAAATAAATATAAGGATTAAAACGATCAAATTAAATTAGAAATAAATTTTAGATTAATCAACAATTGAATTTGTTTGAAAAGGAAAAGGGGTGAGTGAGAATAGCCCACAAATTGATTGATCTATTTTCACAGATAATTTGATTTGGAAATAAATTCTCATTGAGTTTAATTGTTTTCTAATCTAATTAAATTAAATTACTTTTCTTTTCTAATTGATTTTATTTTCTTCCAATTTAGTTTTCATCTTGTGATTTACAATCCTCTGATTTACAGTTAAAACTTTCATGAATTAATTGTTAACTTTTCAGTTAATCAATTTTTCTGATTCTTTGTTTACTTTTTTCAAGTTACTATATTTGTGAATTTTTATCATCTCAAGTATCATTAACATCATGTAATTGTTTTTGATTTTTTTCTCTGTGTTAATTTAATTACTTCAGTTTTTCTCTTGTGTTAGTGAGTTTCTCTCTCTCTCTCTCTCTCCTTGGTAATAAATTGTCATCAAAATACGTGAATTGGGTGAAAATTATTCTCTTTTATTTATGTTCTCTTTTTCATTTTCTTCTATTTTTTTTCTTCTCCAATTCTTTTGTCTTTAGGCCTTTTTTTATACTAACATTCTGTTTTCCATTGGTGATGATACTTATTGAATTTTATTCTTTCTCTCTCATTTACAGATATTATTTATATATAAAAGTCTTTATGATGGATTTTCTTGTTCGAAAATAGTGAAAAGTTTATTTCTCCTTTGCCAGCTTATCCATCAGATCTGGAGAGTTGCTCTCTCTCTCTCTCCTATTCTCTGCTGCTTGTGTGATAATATTTCCTACCAAAACCCTGGATAGTTGATTATACATTTCGGTGTATATACTTATATTCATATATACTCATGGATACACAGATTCATTCACATAAGGATATATATTACACCATGAGAAGCATATTACTCAAAAGATTCAAGGAACAATTGTCAAACTTTAGTTCCCTTGACTGTTAACCCAATTCAATTCTTGGTAGTGGAGAAAAGAAGAGTAAGAAAAAGGAAAAAAAAGAGAAGACGAAAACGAATAAGGAATAGAAAAAAGAGAAAAGAAAAGAAAAAGATTCATTGGAAATCGGTTGTTCCAATGACGAAAATGAATACAAAGAAATTGGTGCTATTGGTTACACAGCGAAATTGAAACTTATGCGTGTATCATGATGATGATAGAGAAGACATGGTAAGTATATATTTCTCCTGAAAATGAAGAAGAAAAAGAAGAAGATAAAGTAGACAGAGAAAAGAAAGTGAAAAAAAGGTAAAGCCAAAAAATAGAAACCTTTCAATCTTTGGAACTTCATAGTTTCATTCGTTCACTCGCTCGATTCCATCTTCTCATTTCATCTTCACGGTTGTTTACATATCTCTTTGGTTACTCTCTCTCTCTCTCTCTCTCTCCTTTCTCATCCTCCCATGAATAATAACAAAAGTAGGATGAAAATCCTTCTGACATTCAATTTCATCTTCTCTTCTCTTCTCCTCCTCCTCATCATCATCAAAAGATACAACAGCAGTTCCACAATTCTACCATGTTAATACAGCCTTCTCTCTCTCTCTCACTCCCATTTATTCATCTGAATAGTAATATCATGATGATATTTCACCATCATCATCATTATTATCATTTTTTTCGTCGAAACATTTTACATGAAAAATTCACTTCCAATCAAATCAACTTAATCTTCTAACCTTTTTTCTTTCTCCTACCAAACATATTACTCGTCTTTGGTAACCAAAACTTTAAAATCGAAATACAAAGACATTTATATGGAGAAAGAAAGATCTAAGGTAGAAGGAAGAGAAATTCTGAGAAATTCTTATAATATATTTTTTCTTTTTCTTCATTATTCTTAGACAGTAAAGCTAATGGATAAATGAGCGTAATTTACGTGGAACATGGAACAGGAAAAACACACACAAAGAAGAAAATTGGAATAAGAAATTTAACTTCCCCAATCTATTAAACGACCGACACACAAATAATAAGGAGAAAAAGAAGAAAAAAAACTCGAGAATAATAAAGAACTAATATTTCAACCTGATTCTTGGTTCTTTACCTTAGAGTATCATCACCATTATCATGATATCTTCCTGTTGTCTTCTCAATCTCCTATTACTGGATTTCCTCTCTCTTTCTCTCTCTTGCTCTCTTATTGACTAAATATTCATCACAAATTCCTGGTCTTTTTTTCCCTCTAAAAAACATCAACATGGAAAGAGGATATTACACTTTTATCATCATCTTTTACAATCGATCAGAACCAAAGGTCTACTAAAGCAATTGGAAATCAACATCACACACACACACAACTAATATAATCGATTATTGATTACACTTTACATATAAGCATAAGTATTATGTGTATATTTGATTCTCTTGGTAAGAGACAGTCTGACAAGTTCGAAAGACCTTTCAAAAGAGAAGAGAAAAAAACTTCGCCATAGAATAGGGAAGATTGATTATTGGTTCTGTTGTTGATACGAGTTTATCTCTTTTTTTCCTCTTCCTCCCTGTTATCTAACTGTTCATCATGATGGAATAAAAAAAGCCCACGAATCACATTGGTTATCAGGTTATCCAAATAATCTTACACTTTTTTTATATATCATTTAACTTCTTACACACACTCTCTCTCTCTCTCTCTCTCTCTCTCTCTCTCTCTCATCTTCACCCTCTTTGCCTACTATTATTTTCAACAGTTTCATTCATTTAATTTGCTTCTTTATCTTCTCTCTTTTTCTCTTCTTAGATTAACATTCTTTGTATTATTATCTTACTACCACTATTATCCTTAACAGGTCAACTTAATTGCTGGTCAACTTGGTCATTTGGTGATTTATTATTATTCCTACAACAACAACATGGTTGGAACAACAATAACAACAGATAAAAAAGGAAAACTGTACTTGAAGATTCATGAAAGATACAAAGGAATAGTCTTATTATTCACACTATGATTATCATGATGGTGAAAACCCTGATAATTTGGTCATATAATTATATGAGTCGTTTAAACATTGGATTGAATATTTACTATTGAATTGGATAATTGTGATGATCAATTAACCGACCATCATTGGAAAACCAATTTAATTGTTAGTTCAAGTTTATCTCTTATTATCATCGAAAAATTAGATCCATTGATGAAGATATTTGAAAGTTTCATCTTTCATCTGAAAAATCATAAGATTTTCCTTCAATGAATAATGTTTATGATCAAATATGCAAAATAATGATAATCATCACCATGATGATTACATGAAAAAAGGAGAGAAGATGAAAAGAAAACATTTTTAATATCATAACATTTTCCACTCTTTTGTTATAAATGTTATATATTAAAATGGAAGAAGAGAAAAAAATTAATATTACTTTGCATATGGTTCATTTACATCTAATTCATTGAGAATGCTCAACAATCAGTTCTGTTAATATATTCATACGATGATGATCATCATTTTTTTCATTATCATGAAAAAGGAGTAAAAAATCAATCATTTCTCATTCAAGATCTTAACGCCATCTCTTGTAAACAATCAGCGCTTTCTCATCACATGTAAAGGTAATCACATTAATTTCTGTTTACTTTTTCCTCTTTGTTTTTTCTCTCTACTATCAGTATACTAACCATTTGATTATTTTAGTTAATTAACCGCACATAATTTGTCTAACAATCAATTGACTATTAACACGTAACAACAACACTAATACTGAATTTAAATTGTTGACAATTGAACATCAACAATTGCAAACGTGTTACGATTATCAATATGAACTTTTTTTCCCTCCAGAATTATTACCATTTGTCTAAATTTAATTTCTTTAACTTTTTTTTTATATTCTGTTGATTAACTAATAACTATTAATCTCTCCCTTAGATTATATAAAACTGTGAATGAGAAGACTTGATTCCATTGAATAGATGGCGATGATTATGATTAGGATGAAGCTTTTGGATGATGATGATCACTCATCTTTCTCACTGTATGTGGTTGTCATGTCTAAATGCAAATATTGTTACAATAACAACAATCAACGCCAAGAGTAAACTGTTAATATTGTAAATTTGATTCTGTAAGTTGAACTTGGTGAAACTCAGTGAATTCATTTGCATTGAAATTTGTTTTGTTTACTTTGATTATTTTTCCTTTTCTCCTACGTAATGTTATTTATATTACGATGATTATTTTCATTTATTTTTTTTTCTTCTCTTCATCTTTTATTGTTTCATGTAATACATTTTTCAATTTTTCTTCATCTCTCTCTTCAGGTTCAACAACAACAACAAATGTATAATATAATTTTCCCTGTTAATATCTAAGGTGGTGATATGATTTTTGAGAATCCAGATGATTCATAATAATAACAATATAATATTGTAAAAGAAATTGGAAATTTCCAACAAGACCAAATAGTGAGACTTATATATAATAATGTAAACATCATTGGAAGATGATATTGGATGAGGATGGAGAAGGTTCCATGTAATGTGACGATGATGGAAGACAAGTGAAGAAAAGTCAACTGTTTTTGATTCGAATTGTGAATTTTTCTAAATCAAGAGGATGGAAAAGAATCAAAGAAATTGAATGGACTCCTCCTAGGTACTTTGGTGAATTATTATTAGAGATTTTATCCTCAGTCTCTCTCTCTCTCTCTCTCTCTCTCACTTCTATGACATTCATTCAGGATAAAGATGAGATGCAAAAGAATTACAAAGAGGATGGAAAGAGAAGAAAAAAATGGATGAATAAGAAGAGAAATATTGTTCATATTCCATGGAATCAAATCAACAACAACAACAGGAACCCAAAGAACAAGAAGATTGTTCAGAATAAGAAAATAGAGAAGAAGAAGAAGAAAAAAATGAGAGGAAATCTCTTTTTTCTTCATCATCTTCCTTCGCCTTCTTAGGTTCATTATATTTATCATAACTTGTCATCTCCATTTTGTTTGGAAGACGTAAAAGATGAGGAAACAAACATCAGAATCATCATCATCCAGAAAGAGGGAGAGAAAAAGAATCAACCATAAACAACTTTCTTTCTCTTTTTTTATTATTATTTTTTTACGTTTTTTGGCAAAAAAAGAGATGAGGATGGAACGAAGATGACAAAGAGGTGTAAGATAACTACCACCACCACCACGACTGATGATGAAGAGGAGGAGGAGGAGAAAAAGAAGATAAAGAAGAGGGTGGAAGGAGATTCTGCATTCTCCTCATCTCCTCATCTCTCTCTCTCTCTCTCTGTCTCTCTCTCGTCATCATCATCGTTAAACTTTTTTGAATGTACATTATTTTATGTGTATTTTTGGTCCTTAGAGTCTTGACCTTGATCGAGGTGAAGTTTAACTTTTCCTTTCCTGATGATTTTAGCATCGATAACAAAGACCATTCAATAATATGTATACAAAGTTTCACTCATCCAATTTTACGCTCATCATCTTTATCATAGACTCATCATCATTCTCATCATCATCTTCTTCCTCTCTTCTGCTTTATCCTCCTTTCTCAAAGTCATCATTGTCATAATAATGCCCTCTTTATGTGTCCTCTCAACCTTTTCTGTGGTTGACATTTGCCTTTATCTCTCTCTCTCTCTCTCTCTCTCTCTATCCTCATCCTCATCCTCTGGATAAATATATTGCAAGTTAAATTGTTCAACCTCCCAAAGGTAATCGAGACAAAAATCCCATCTAAATCAAACAACAATTTGATTAGATGAAATATTTGATACGATAATTATGATTAGTTGATTAAAAAATCAATAACCAAATCGTAAATGATATTGAATGATGAACATAATGGTGATAATAACAATTAAATGAAATTGTTATGATGATTATTGTGATAATAAATCTGATTTATCAGTCATCCATTGAAAATGTTAACTGTACAATTGATTATCATCATTGATCATCAGAATCATCAACATGATCTATGTTAAAGTTAATCAACAACCAAACAAAAAGATATGAATCTATCATCACTTGTCCATTGGTGTGATCATTTTTTTCATCTAATCTCAATCATCATCATATTAATAATCATCTTGATCTTAATCTTTCCAAAGGAGGGATTAGTATGTCAAAAGATAAATAAATTGACATCTTATATTGTTCAATGTTATTACAATAGACTCTCTCTCTCTCTCTCTCTCTCTCTCTCTCTCTCTCTCTCTCTCTCTCTCTCTTCTTTCTTTCTATTATTCACTCACAATCCTCACCCCGCCGCCATGAATTTGGGGATATAATTTATACCTCAATAAATGTCGATTCAGTTTAATTGTTAGATTGAACAAAGCTCGTGTCACGCGCTCGAGTCTCTACCCAATAATTAAAGTCCATCATGATTAGTGAACCATTTAATTCACATCTTTATCCTTATCTTGATGATCATGATTGTAATTCATATCTTCATTGAAGAGGATCATCATTTTCATAACATCACATCAATGGGAAAAAGATATCACATCAATGAACTTGCAAGAGAATGGGAGAGAGAGAGAGAAGTAAATTCAATGAAGAGAAAAATAAAGATGATCAACAAAGAGATGATGATCCATATTATCATCTTGATCCTCATCAAAATCATATTTAATGTCTACATGTTATATTCACATATTCATATGTACATAAAATACAAATAAGGATCGGGTGAGATGTCAAGTGAACTCTCATTGTACTAGAGAGAGAGAGAGAGAGAGAGAGAGAGAGAAATGAAAGAAGATGACAGAAGATAAATTCTGATTCTCATCATCGTTTTTTTTTCATTTTCTAAAAAAACTACGATGATGATCACATAAACTCTTTCAATGAGGAAAATATCTGGAGAGAAAAAAAATTGCTCGGAAGATGATGAAGATCTGATGATGATGATGAAAGTAAATCTAAATATCTTGTCATTCAAATAAACTGATATTCAGTTGAAATGAATTGGAGTAAACAATAACAGGGAATCACTCCCAGATAAGATAATAATAATATCCTTGAAATGAATATTTTTTGTTCACAGAAAAATGATTTTCCTCTTACAATTTTCCCTGTTATCATCATCTTTTTATCTTCATCATCGTCATCATCATCTGTATCATCTTGATACTTTTCTACACAAAATTGGGTGAAAAAACTTGAGTGGATTGAAGATGAAGTTATATATGGATGAAAGAATATGTTTCCATGAGAAGTGAACAGTTTCTTACAGAATTGTTCAGTTATCTTCCAATATCTCTGTATCTCTCTTATTCCATTTCAATGGAATAACAAGGATGATAATGATGATCGAGATGAAGATAAAGATGATAGAGTAAAAAAAATTATTGATAGACAAAAGAAAGAAAGAAAAAAAAAGAGAAAGAGAAAAAAACTTTTCCCCTTCTCCTGTCATCCATTCAGTTTCAACTGAACACCATCATCAAGATCTCATGTCATGATATGTGTTTAGTCAACCTCATTAATATCATGGAGCCTCACCCACTCCCACCCTGAGAAAAAAACTTCCCTTCGATTCCCATTATATTTTACAATTGAAGTTCGAAAAAAAAAGTTCTTATTGATACTGAACTTTTTTTTTCTCTCTCATTTCTGATCGTTCCATGATGATTACAGTTATCATCATCATCATTTGAAATAAATCATGATGATTATGTTTCCATGAGCAAATTATCATTATTGTTATTATTTGATATTCAGTTCTGAAAACAATGGAACCACTGGAAAAGAAAGTAAATATTAGTTCAGAACTTTTTCCATTCAAATATATCAATTCAATTCTAAATCTGAATCATGATTATTATACATTTTTCCATGTAAACATGATATGTAATAATTATCATGGAATCACATTAATGCTGGAAAACAATGGAAAATGATGAAAATTAATTCCACTGATTCCTTTTTCTGATAATTCGCAAATCTATCAACTGATCCATGATCAGAATCAATTAATCATCAAGTAAAAGTTTATCCAAATCATTATGATGATAATTGTTTGTTTTATCAGTTAAATCTGAATTTAAGGAATCAATGATTTCTCATTTGATTGAACAAAATTAATCAAAGTCAAAAAATTTTCTTATTTCCGTTCATTTTAATTCAGTTTGTTCAACAAAACGAATCATTTTTCATCATCTTATCATGATGATCAATAGGATTTATAATCATCATGTTTAATAGCATAAATATCAAAGGTATGAACATCAAAAGTAACTTATTGATTACATTGAAATTGTATCATCATTATTTACATCAATTTTCATCCTTCATTTTCCCATAGACATCATGAAACATCATGAATCATGATTCATTGGCTCAGATATTCACACTCTGAGTATTATCACCATGAATCAACAATCGGAACAAAAAAAAACACCATAATCATATCATAGCTTCATGATTATAATGGTTCCTGTAACAGGCTCATTATTGATCATGGAAACCTCAAGATTCACTGTTACTATTTCCTGTTATCATGAAGGAAGAGGAAGTATCATCAGGATGGATCTTCATCATCAAGAAGATAATTATCTTTGATTTTTTTTCTTCGCCTAATTTTCTAGGTTTCAATCTTCATCTTTTTCACTATTCCTCAAGTTATCATCATGTTCTGATGATGAAAACGGTGATAATCTGATAATCTTTGCCTTGTGATTATCTTACAATCACAATGATTCACCGGAAACTGATCACCGTTAAATTTGTACATCATCATCATCATCTTCCTCTCTCTAGTCTTATCTTCCTCCTTTTTACCTTCTCAACCGGAAGGTAACAATAGTTACTTCATCTCAAGTGTTTCTACTCATTGTGATGAGGATGAAGATGCGGATGATACATTGAATAACATTGAATCAATCAGGTGAAAGAATTCATAGAAAATACAATATCTTCCATCAGTCTCTTTCTTATCATCATTATCATCTTCTTTCTATGGACAGGAAATCTTTCATCTCTCTCTCTCTCTCTCTCTCTCTGGTATAAAGTTTCATCTTTTCCATCCCTTTACATTGTTATACTTTGTTAGATGAATTCATCTTTTATCTTCCTCATCATTTTTTTTCTGCTGAATCTTCATCTTGCCGATACTTTGTTTTAACACTTTGATCCTCGTTGAATTAATCATCGACATCATCAGGATATTAGACATTGGATTAACTAGAAAAAATTACGAAAAAAAGATGAAAAGTTAGATGATGATGAAAATGATTGAACCAAAAGAAACCAAATCAATACATTGATATTATTTTTCTTTGGGTTTTTCTTTATCCTCATCAATTGATTTACATTGATTTTTTTTACTATTACCTATTGTTGTTAATACATTTCAACTGTATCATCCAGGTCTTCATCTTCATCCTCATCCTTAACCTTTATCTTAATAGATACTTGAATAATCATCTTTAGTTCACTTTGATGAAAAATGCAAGACAAGCTTTTATTATTATCATTATCATCTTCATCTTCATCTTCATCATCATTATCATCTTCGAGTTGGTTTGTTCAACTTATATTAGTAAAGGATTTTCATCTTCATCCTTTTCTTATCATCTTTACCAGCTCTTGAATTTACAGGCATTTAGTTGAATAGGAAACAATGGTAATGATGAGGATGCAGATCAAGATGAAGATTGAAATTTAATAGAAACAGGTTTTAAATGGAGAGATGAAAGTAAAGATGATGATGATGATGAGGATGAGACTTTATTGATGAGGATGTTGTTTAAATCGGCTTAACCAGTTACAATCAACTGTAACTCTCTAGACTAAACTAGAGTATAAAAAATTACACAACCATTATTTCATCCTGGATGTTGATGATGGCAGAACTTGGATTCATCCTCATCCTTAATCGTAACCAATGAAAGTAAAACTTGAAATCATCAGTAAAAGTTAATATAACTTGAAGATAATCAAAATGTTTCATGATCCAAGTTGATTATCAAATTAAATGGGAGCAATTAACAAGTTATCCAACAGTTTAATTAATCGAGTTGCATCATATCATCACAATCAATTGATTTGCAATTTAATTTTCTTTATAAAGAAGGAAAAGAAAATAATTATTCTAAATTTAGAATCATTAATAAGTTTCTTCTATTGATACTTACATTATTTTCTTTGTCTTTGTGTTTGTTTTCTTATTCCCGGGAAAATATCTCATTAGTTAGTTAATTGTTAACTTCTTTAGAGTAAATGATTCCAAACAATTATCATCAAATTCAACTTGTTAAACATTTCCTCTTATGTTTCAGTTAATAAACTCAATTGTAGCTAAATTGTTGTAACTTTGATTCCAAGTTCAGATAAGCAAGAAAAAGTTTTTTTTTCTCAGCAGCGAAAAAAAAATTCACTAAGATTTGTTTCGCTTTTTTTTCTGCTTCGTTTTCCATTGATATAAACACACTCAAAGCGAGTTAGTTAATTAGTTAATTAAAGTTGACTTTATCTGGTTCGCTCTTTTTTTTGAGTCAATTTTGCTAAGAAAATTAAATTGGATGATATTCATCTCCATCATCATCATGAGAAAACAATTATTTCACTTTAAGATATTTTCTTTTCCATCTGATAACTGATAATCCTCAGAAATATCGTCATTATTAACTGGAGATTGAGATCATTTCAATTGATCACCAAGAGAATTGAAGAAGAGGAAAAAGTTTCAAAATTATCCTTCAATCAGTTTGGAGTTGATTGTCGTTTAATTAACGATCATAGGAACGTTGATTCAAGCCAAGGTATTAACGATGTCGAGTGAGGGTGATAAATTAGTTGACATAATCATGATGATGATGATTATGTTTAGTGTTGAAAGTGTTCATGTTGAGAGTTGATGTTGGACTTTTTTTTCAAGTGATAGTGTCTGGGGTTATACTTTAATTGTCATGATGATGATGTTTGGGTATTAAAGTTGACAATCAGTTGATTGTGATTAGTATTGTGCTTTTTTTTGCTGTTGTTTGCTGTTTTCTTTTGCTTTATCCTCTCTCCCTCATCCATGGATTTTGTCTCGTTCTCAATTTCCTTGTGACAATTATTTGAGGATGAAGATGATGATGAAGTTGAAATATATCACTTGACAATGACAAGCTCATTAAATTGAGTCTCTCTCCTTTTTGGTTAAATCTTGTTCACGAAAATGAGCCAACCACAGAAGATGAAACAAAGAAAATGAGGAATTGCTGGTTTAGTTGATGAGAAGGACACACAATTTAGAGGCTTTTGATATAAGGTGACCTTTAAATGATGATGATGGTGTGAAAGGGAGATAGATAGATAGAGAGAGAGAGTACCATGTTTGGGTGGATAATAACTGTTATAATGGTGAAGATAATGATGGAAATAATGATGATGATGATGATGAGATGAAAGAGGTGAAAGGAGAGAGACTGGAGAGAAAGCGAGAAAAGGTTAGTGTCTAAGATGAGAATAGAGAAAGATTAATAAAAGGAAGAGAAAAAAAAGAGAAAGTAAATCTTAGAAGGTGATCCTTATGGATATAAGTTAATACGTTTCTAGTTAAAGATTCTTGAGATTCATTGAACTGGTCCAAGGATTTTATGTGTTTGTCCTTTTCCACTTTCACCTCCTACTATTGTTTTTAACAAGGAGACACCTTAATTGATGATTAGTGAACCTTAGTTAGTGATGGTATGATGATAACCATAGATCATCATGGTAAATATAACCAATTTTGATGAGAATGTTGGAATAAGAAAAGAAGCTAAAGAGAAACAAAAAAGAATAGAAAATAAAAGCTCATGAGAGAAGAGAAAAAAATAAAGCCAAGATTAGAAAAGATTCTTATGAGAAGAAGATACAATCAGCTTACCCGTTATTCTCAATAGAATTTAGTTTTCAAATATTTCCATTACATTACCAGGTAATTAAAGTTTTCCATCAACCCAAATAATCAAAAAGAAATTAAAATGTTCAAGATCAATACAGAAAAATACTCACATAGGGAAACCATTTTAACCAAAATCTACCAATTAACGGAGACAAAGAATCGATTTCAGGTAATGTAGTAAGTAGCGAAGTAGAGTCAAGTCAACAACCTGGAGCTTGTGGGTGATTTAAATTAACAATTAAAAGAAAAAAATAATGATAATTAATCCGAAAACAATTAAGATTAAATTAAGAAAACAAATTGATAAAAGAAAAATTTTTGCGGGTTAGCAGCGCCATCTCTTGGTCTTGATAGAAACTTTGAAGTTCGATGGGAGTCGAAAGAGGTTTAACTTTTTTCGCTCCTGATGAATTTTAATTTAATTAACTTTACCTGTTAATTAAAAATTTAAGGTAAGATCTTAGTTAATGGTTGGAGGTGGAGCTAACGGCTATTCGTCACACTTATTCCTATGTTTGTTTAAATTAGGTTAGGTCTTCATTAAAAGGGTCAAAATCGAAATAGGAAGGCCCGGAGGGCCTGAGACAATCAAACGGACACACAAGCAACCCAAAATTCATCCAAATTTGCCTATTTAAGCTGACGGACACTATCGATAAGTGTGTTGAATAAGCATTGGCTCCGCCTCCAACCATTAACTAGGATCTTACCAAATTTAATTTTGTGTTATTATTGTTTATCTTATTCCAATGATCAAATTGACACCAATATTATGACAGTTCGACAGTTACTTTAGTTGTTTTCTCGTTACTCTTAAAACTGAGACTCTTATTGCGTCGTAATAACTACAACAACCTCTCATCTAAGGTTAGTATCACATAATACATCTTACTAATTTTCTCTCTCTATTTCTTCCCATGAATTAAAATAGCTTGATTGAAAAAAATTCTGATTTAAAATTACAATATTTAAATTCTAATATTGAAAAGTCTTATATTTAAAAAAGAAAAAAATAAAGAAAAAAAAGAAAGGAACCAAACAAACAAACAAAAACTAAACAAAAGGATTGTCACCATTAGACTCATCCAACAAATGAAGGACAAGCCAATGAAGACACCGAATTATTCAATCACTGATTTAAATTGTATTGAGAAAATTCATGTAAACTGGGCGATTAGTTCAGTGCCTCAGGGTGATTGGACTGAGTCCAATGGAAATGTATAAAGCATTAAGCTCGGGGATAGGTGTAATAAAGTTGGATTGCAATTAACTAATTGTAGTTTCATTTGTAAATTACTAATGAAAGAGAATCAATTTAATTGGTGAATATTTAGATCTTACATTAGTCAGTATATCAATGGTTATGATTAACTTATCAGTGAGTTTTCAGAGTTAAAGGAAACTTTTTAGTCTCGATTTTAATTTAATTTTAATTCAATGATTAAATAATTTTTGATAAATCAATGGAAACTATTTTAATGAGAATTTAAGAAATCAATAGAAAATCACAAAATTCTATCATGAAATTTATTAGATTATTGTGCTTCTACTAAAGGTAGAACCAAAGAATCGAAATCAGAATGGAGGAAAATCAGCATTTTGGTTACAAGGAATTTGAAAAAGAAAAAAAATTTCATGGTAATAGAATAAGAATTTTTCAAATTCAGAATCAGAACAAGAAAGAAAAGAACAAAAAAATTCTTTTTTTCTTGTTATGAGAATAAAAAAATGAAGAGATATAATATTCTCTGTTCTTCTGGTGGAATTGATTTTGTTTTCTAATATTCTCAATTCTTATATTTGCTTGGATAATTTTCAATCTGATTATCGATCCAATTGTATCATAATCATCATCTTCTAGTTGTATCTGTCTCCCTGATACTTTTGTCTACTGATGATGATGAAAAGATGATGAAGATGAAAAAAGGACGACGATGAAAGCCCATTTAGATGGGATTTCCTTGGAGCAGAAAAAGATAAGTTGAATTTAAGTGAATGAAAATATTGAGCTGAAAGCAATGGAATCACTTTAGTATCAGATGAAGATGAAGATGATGAGGGAGAAGGAGAGAGAGAGAGAGAGAAAGAGTAGCCACTTCAAGTAGAAAAGAAGAAAAAATCGAAAAAGAGAATAATCTTCATCGAAAAGATCTTTTTGTTCATCTTCCTTCTCTGAACATCTCTCTCTCTCTCTCTCTCTCTCTCTCTCTCTCTCTCTCTCTCTCTCTCTCTCTCTCTCTCTCTCTCTCTCATCCTTATCCTCATCCTTCCATATTCAAGATGATAGAAATGAAAAAATTATCTTCATTATAAATGCCCAAGAGCCGAAAAAGTTACGAACTCGAAAGGTACAAACTCGAGATAAAAAGTCCTACAACTTTTTTATCGATTTTTGACTGAAGCTCTATTATCATTATGATCCAACTCTTCATCTTCTTCTTTATCATCATTGATGTGAACATTCAGCTCGATTAGACAATCGAAGTAACTTTTATAATGATTAAGATGAGGATTAATTTGAAAAGATTTCAAATGATGTAACAATTTAATGAGAGAGAGAGAGTGGAAATCATCAAGAGTTAATCATTTATCTGTGATGATTAATGATCATTTTAATATTTGATTCGCTCAACCAGGTATTTAAATTATCTTTCATCATGATGGAATCATTAAGATCATGAGAAGATGAGAAGATGATATAAAAAAAAGGAAAAGAAAAACGATTTTATCAAAAAAGAACGAGAAAAAAATTCGATTTAATAAAGTTCTAAGCTTTTTTTTCTCGAATTTTATTTTTCACCTGGAAGTTTCAATATTAATCTGTGTATATTAAAAGTAAGAGTTTAATTGTGTTGGTTAATTGAGGCGATACACGATTAGTTTAATGGTTAAGAGCAATTAGATTGAAGAGATTTGATCAATTGTTAAAATCATTTGAAATTGGGAATTGGGAAGATTATCAAAACTACTCAATTTTCTCAATCAGTGTTAGTTCATCAAAGAAAATCAGAAAGTTTTAATTCCAAGGGTGTGGAGATTATAACAAAGAGATGAGGTAAATTTCGTGATCGTAAGTAATTAGAGCGATAATTAATCGGTTTTTGGTCGATAATATTTATCGTAATACGCTGTGAAGGTGTCATAGGATGGAGACACTTTCTGGACAATTGCATCTTGCATCATGTTTTTCATGTAACTTCCAGTCGATGGATAAGCTGAGCAAACTGAATCAACACCGTTGATTGTTGGATGGGAAAACCAGGATGAAATTGGAATGGTCATTTCCAGGAATGGCCAAACCATGTAATCAGAAAATAAAGGTTTTTCATTACCTGAATGTAAAGAAAAAAGAAAGAAAGAAAATGTTACAATGACATAGAGATTGTTAGCTGATTGCTGATGGAAGTTAACAATTACCTTGTAAGAATTTGGTTCCAATATTGGAAAAGATTGATTCTAATTTGGTGAACATCTCAGTGATTGATTTGTTTTTCTCTTCAATGGATAAACTAGAATCTTTTAGACATCGAATTGGTGTAAATAAGGGTGAGGTTATTTCATCGATTAACAATGAACCTTTTGCCTTCTCATAAGGATCAACTGGGTGGAGTGTGGGTGGATAAATTGAATCGAGGTAATTAGCAATTACCATTGATTCAGGTAAAGTTTTATCTCCCTGCTTAAGGTAAGGCACTTTGCCCGCTGGGTACATGTCAAGATACCATTGAGGTTTGTTGATCAAATCAATTCCAATGAAGTTGTATCTGTGTGTGGATATTTAAATAGATTGATAAGATTAGATAACAATTAAGGTGATTCAGTGTAGTTAAACTCACGGAATCTTTTTTTCAGCCAATACAAGAAGGACTCGTCTCACAAATGGACATATAATACTACCATAGATGGTCAGATTGGACATATCGACAGAGGGATGACCGGTACTATCTGTTGGAATCAATGTTTAGAAAAACAAAATTAGAGATACAATTAGTTTGTAGGAATAATTTGATTGTTAGAATTGTGTAAATAGGTCATGTAAATGGGAATCAATTTATCTTGAATTGAAGTTACTATTATTTACCTTTATCATGATAATCAGCAAACACTTCTAAGCCCATTGTGTAAAATGGTTGATTAGTTGATTGTGGTTATGATGAGTGATGACAATTTAAAGTTAAATTGGTGAGACAGCAACAGTTAACTCAATTCAATTGAATTGGTTACGTTTCTTGTTAACTTGTTAATCAGCTGTTTCCATGGTGATCATTTTTTGCTTCAAATTTGAACTCACATTTTTGATTATCATTTAGGTGCATTGATTTAAGTTAATCATAGATTATGATTAAATTGTTACGATAACTTGTGATTGGGAAAAGCGTTTCAAATGTTGTACTTGGAATCATTTGTATATTTGTATCTCTCGATTGATTCAAATCAACAGGATCAATATTTTAAATGGAGTTGCAATTGTTCAGGGTTTTTGAGATCATTTGACAGGTGATTAAGAGATTAATCTTGATTGTGATTAGTTGAAAGTAATTCCAAGTGATTAGTTAATCCATAGAAAATTGTTCAGTTTAAATGGAGTATCAATCTATTTGGATTATTAAACGATAATGACCAACATTCAATTTGTGAACATCTATTGGTAAATTTAACGATTTATATTCAGAAGCAAAACCAAAATGAATCCATGATTAACCTTGAAAATTAATTAACTGAATCTAAAAGATAAATAAAAATAATAAAAATAATAAATGAAAACAATTAGCAAAAAAAAAATGTAAACAAATGAGAAACAATAACAACAACAAACGCCGAAACCAGTTGATCAAATCTTAATATCTCACCTTTAACAACTGACAATTAAGATTAAACAATTAACCAGGAATGACAATCATTGAGAGAATTGAACTAAACCATAATTAACAACAATTAGTTGAAATTAATCAACGAGAACAAAACAAAATCAAGTGAAACTAAAAGCGAAAAGCAAAAAATGATTCATTTGAATCTCCAACAAGTTGAATTTAAGGTTAACCTTCAACCAAAGTGAACCAAAACTGACAAAGACACTAAATTAATGATTAACCCGAAATAGAAAAACTAATTAAAACAATTAAATGAAGAAAAACAATTAAACAAACAAAGAAAATGATGCAATCGATTCATAAGGATTTCTCTATAAAGAACACGTGGTTTCTATCAGCTTGTAGATTCTCAATTTTTTGGTTTGTTTTTTTTTCTTCTCTTTTTTTGTTCAACTCTAATTGTCTTCGCAGTTTAATTAGTGTATTTTTTTCGGTGATTTTTAGATAATTAATTATCATGTTTCATTCTATTACTCGGGTAACACCCTCACTAACCAGTGCTATTAGAATTTCTCGTCAAAATCAATCGTTTTGGAGCAGATTATTGTCTACACCATTAACAAGGCGTTTGGTTACTGATGCTGATGGTAAAAGAGAAACGGTGAGAACACCAACTTTAGAGGAAATTAATCAAGACAATTTAAATCAAACATCGTCTTTCTCATCAAATTCATCATCAACTGATTCACCATCATCTCCATCATCATTATCTCCGGAAGAATTTGTCAAAATAGAAAATGATTTGAGAAAAGAGATTGAAGGTTTAACAGAAAAGGTTAAAGAGATCGATGATAAATATAAACGAGCTCTTGCCGAAGCTGAAAATACAAGGTAAGGTCATTTTAGAATTTAGAAATTAATTCTTCTCCTCTACTCATTAAGAATCTATATTCTAATTATCATGTTTTTCTTTTATCTTAATCACAGGATAAGAATGAGACGACAAGTGGATGAGGCCAAAATCTTCGGGATTCAAGGTTTTTGTAAAGATCTTCTGGAAGTTGCCGATGTCCTTCAAGCAGCAATTAAAAGTGTTCCAAGTGATAAATTAAAAGACGAACATTTAAAATCACTATTTAAAGGAGTTGAGATGACGGAGAATCAATTACAATCAGTTTTCCGTCGACATGGTTTAAATCAAATTAATCCAATTGGTGTTAAATTTGATCCCAATGAACATCATGCAATGTTTGAAGCCGATGATTTATCCAAGGAACCAGGAACCGTCGCCATTGTTACTCAGATAGGATATAAACTTCATGATAGGACAATTAGACCTGCGATGGTTGGTGTAGTTAAAGCAAGATCGAGTTAATTAACGAGTTAATTGTTGTAATCATCATGCGAGAGAAACCAAATGAGGAAACAAAAACGAAGAGGATAAAGTCAATTTGAAATTGTTTTACTCTTAATTAATTATATTCAATTCCATGTGAGTCATTACCAATGTTCAGCTCAACAATTAACAATCAATGGTGAAAATTGGTTAATAATCTAAACAACTTGAAGGAGAAAACTAAAAGTCAACAATTAACACTTACAAAATTATTAGTTTAAAAAAAAGATTATATAAAATGCTGGATAATTGAATTTAGATATTTAATTATCGTTTGAAATCAAAACAAAAGGTTTACAACGTTTTGTTGATTGAATTTAGAGGATAAACTTGATAATTAATGGTACATAAATTTGTTTCAATTGATTAGAAACGTTGGACTTTATATATATAATTTTTTTTATCTCTGTTAATCATAATTGTTTTTCATTCAAGTTCAGTAACAACATCATTTTCATTGATCAAATTGATCGGTTGTAAATTGGATGTTATGTTGTAATAATAATAATAGTAATAATAATTTAGAATTGGTGAATGAAAAAGAGAGAGAGAGAGAGGAAAAAAAGGTGAGAGTGGAAAAAGATTTAACTTGGAGAGAGAGAGAGAGAGAGTGAATAATATCAACTCAAGGGAGATGTCGCTCGATTTTTGAGTGCGAAAGACCAATTAACTTTGTCCATTCGAAAACAACCGAAAAGGTCACTAGATGATTAGGATATTCGATTCCATTCAAATATATAATTCGATCTGTTTTTGTAGAAAAGGCATTGTGATGACATCCAAAGGTAGAACCTTGTTAGGTGGTGAGTGAATTTGTCTCTTGAATTTGTTTTTCGCTCGATTTTTTCTTTATAAAATGTACAAGGTGTGATTTTCGCTCATTAAGATTCTCTCAATTGTTATACCGGTTAACTGGAAAAATGGTAAAAAAACTGTTTGACTTGGCTTTCGATTTGTTTTCCATTTGTTTCTTTTTCTCTTTTGCAAATTCTCTTTGTTTCCGTTTTAGTCTCTTGCAGGTCTTTCATGTCTTCTCTCTCGAGAGCGAGATTTGTGACGATTTTTTGGTGATCGTGATCTTGAGCGACTTCGACGACGATAACGTTCCCTTGATCTTATCATTCAGAAAGAGAGAAAAAGGAAAGAAGGTTAATTATTAGTAAATATTTTTCTCTGTTTACGATCAATTAGATTTGTAGATGTATTTACCTTGATCTACTTCTACTTGGTTTAACTTGTGGCTCTCTTTCTCTGTCTCTTTCACGATCTCGGTCTCTTTCTGCTCTTTCGGTCTTTCGGTTCTTTCAGTTCGTTCAGGCCTTTCGGTTCTTTCTCCACGGTCTCTATCACCTCCTCGTTCTCGATCTCTTTCTAACTCATTATTTCTACTTCTGTGGTTATTGGCTCGGTCTCCAGATCGTTCATGGTTACGATTAGCATTTCGATCATTGTATCTGTTGCCTCTTTCATTTCCTGAATATAAAGAAAACAAAGAGAAGAACAATAGAATTAGACAAAAAAAAACAACTAGAATTTGATGAGAATGGAAATTTCCCAGTAATAAAATACCTCGATGTGAATGTCGATTCCTCCTTTCATTTGATATTTCCTCATTTCTATCAGGTAGCAGACCTTTGGCTCTTTTTTCTGCAACAATGATCTGTGAATAGATAAGTGAAAACAAAGAAAATTAATCGATTGAAATCACAAAGAATATTCAAGAAAATGACACACACCTTTAATTCCTCTAATCTTTCTCTAATTGTGATGAAACCAAGATGCAATTTACCTCCAAAATGATCAGCTAATCGTCTATCATTGTCATGAATTCCAAGGTAGGCTGAGCAAACCTCACAAACTCGTAATTTCTGCTGTTGATAACTTGATGCAGGCATCGAATTACGATATTCAACCTCAGCGGATTGTTTTTCTTTCTTTAATTTTTCCACCTCTTCCATATATTCAAGAGACTTTTCAACATTACCCTCTTCCCCTAAAGCTTCAGCAGCAGCCAACTTTTTACCAATAGCTTCAGCTAATTCATGAACCTTGTTCAATTTAGACGTAACCTCAGCACTAAGCTCCTCTTGGGTCTCTGCAAGCCTTTTCTTTGCTAATTCTGTCTTCCTATCAGCATCAGCACCAAAGGTTTGCAAATGATCCAAAGCGTCAACCTCATAACCAAAATCTTTATTGAGAGAAGCTTTCTCATAATCAGCTCTCAAGGCGAGATCATGTACTTTCGGACATTCACCCAAATCCATACGAGTTGAGGCCAAAATATCATGTGGACAACAGGATAAAAGGAAACTTTTACACACCCTTGGATCACTAAAATGATATCTATTCCGTTTACCTTCAGCACCTTCACGAGCAGTTCCCATTAGCTGATCTAACATGGCTCTCATTTGTTCAGTCGCTGACATGACTTCAACTAGAATTTAATAATTCTCAATATCAATGGAAAAACACTAAACCAGACAATCAACTCGATACCAGATTAATCCTTAACCTGTTAATAAAAGTATTAGATAAAAATTTACTATAAATTTAAGACAATTAGTTAATTGATAAAGAAAAAAACAAATCAAAACAATTAGATTTACACACAAAAACCAGAAAAAATTTCTCAGAGGGACCGTTGATATATAAAAAGCTCCATTCCGGTAAAATCAACTTCCATTTACTTTTAATCATTTAATCATCGTAATTAAATTTAATTGTTGATCGATTTTTCTTTTAACCGACAAATAATCAAGAATAGATGTATAGTAATAGATAATAATTCATCGCCGGTAGTGATTAATTTCCCGTAGAAAATGAAACTTGATTGAAATATCAATAAAATGGAAACAATTTTTTGTTGTTGATTGATTTAATTATCAAATCTAATTACTTACCAATGGATGATTAGTAAATAAGGTTAATTAATAAGGTTGAATTCGTGGAATTGATTTTTTGCATGGAAGTGAATTTGATTAGTTGGAGGATTACGAGAATTAAGAGTAAAAAATTAAATAGACAAAATGAGTTGGTCAAAAACTTTCGGTTGATTGTCGAGTTGAAATGCGAAAATACTAATTGTTGTCAACTAATTGGTTGATTATGTTTAAAACTTACTATGATTTTTTTATCCTTTTATGTGCAATTTCATGTTCGATACAATTAATAACGATAACAACTGAGTTCTTAAAATATCCAGTCCTCGAAACAATTGAAATCTCATTCCCATCGACAATTGAGATTCCCGATTTAACAATTTGTACCCAATTTTTGTACGCAATTAACTGGACCTATTTTCTTAATCATCATATTAACTTAATTACCAACTACACAAATTGTAAATTACAAGGAACTACCGATGAACAATTAAACCAAACCAAATCGTTTTTCAATGAAATGGGTCAATGGGAATTTCAACCATTCGTTGAGAAACATTTTACTTATCAACAATTTTACAAATCAGTGATCAAATCAAATGAATTAATTGATGAGATCAAATTCTGGACCAACAATCAAACAATTAATATAATAGAATCAAATCCATTGAAAGAAATTGATTGTTCCCATGAAACTTTCATCAAAGATCCTCATGTTTGCTATCATGTTGGTTGTCGCAATAAAACCGCTCCAACCGAAGCCGCTTTCCTAACGAAAAGTGACCTTAATTATGGACCAATGATCGGTAGCATCATGCAGGTCACTCTCAATCGAAGCTACTTTGACCATTGGGAACATGCATTCGTTTACATTCATTCACCATTATCACTTCCCTATGGAGATGAAGTTTCATCAATCATGATTAACTCACGAAACGAAGGGTCAATATTTTACCTTTCATATAAAAGGTTAATTGTTAACCTTTTACCTTTACCCTATCAAACCGATTGTCTTGATTATCATAAACAATTTAAAGTCTCCAGGGCAAATCTATATGAACAGTGTGTAAATAATAAGACGAAAAGTGAATATAAATTCATTAATTATCAGACAATCATTCGAGAACCTGAAAAGTTTAATTACAAGTTTTCCAATCGATTACGATTCAATTACTCTGATCAATTGGATCAAATTTACTCTCAATGTAAATTGTTGGTTAACAAATCTCAATGTAATCAACGATATTTTATCCCTTATTCAATGGGCTACGAGCAATTATTTGATCAACAATCAGCTAATTTTTTAATTGTTGCCCCAGTCGATCCTGAAATTAATAAAACTTGTGTCGCTAAAATTAATTTGGTTAATTATTTTGTCTCAATTGGTTCAATATTGGGAACTTGGTTTGGATTTAGTGTCGTTAAAAATTTAGGTCATTTTCTGGACAATTTGATCATCACAATTAAAAGTAAACAACAAGTTAATCAATTGAGAAGTAAAAAGTTTAATCAACGATTTAAACGTAAATGGATTGATACAATTTCCAACCGTCAATTAACTTGATTCACCTTTAAATCAACAATTAAGTCTACCTGTTGGTTGATTATCATTAAGACCACTTTGAGATTAAGACAATTAGCCCGAAGGGAAAATTAAAAGAAAAAAAATTAACTCTTTTAATCCTAATCATCTTAATTATCTTAACCATCATATGAGCAATTAGTTAATTAACGTCTTATCAATACAACACAATATAATTCACTGATTGTGATTAACTTATCATTATTATTTATAACTTTTCATTCAGCATGAAACAATTTAGTTACCAAGCAATTAATTGTAACAACAATTTATAATATTGAAAACTACCAAACTAATTGTAATTGAAAACAATCAAAATGATCAAATTAATTGGAGTAAATTTTTTCCGTTAATCAATTGAAGAGGAACAAGAATAAACTAAATCAATCAGCTTTAATTAACCCGATCATTGTATTGTGAAACTTTGATTACAATTAAATCATAACCTAAATTGTAAACTTCCTTTTTCCTAATTCCTAATTGTTTCACTAATTAACCTAGAGACTAGTTAATTGATTACCACTGATTTGTAAAACTTACTCAACAATTTGAACTAATTACCTTGTTGATCACTAATCATAATTAAATATAAAATATATATTTTTAAACACAAACAATTAACTCAAACATAATCACAATAAACAATCAACAGCCCAACCTCCAATACTAGTAAGTAAATCAATTATGTTTATTTTGTAACAATTAAAATCAAACAATAAACAACACACACACACAAAGATTAAGATTAGATTGGGATTATCCCAACACGATGATAATAAATTATTAATTGCAATTAATATTTATAAACAATTAACTTCAAGTTTACCGTCTGAAAGTTTTTCTCATAACATCATGATTAACATTGTCACTCTTAATCAACTTGAATTACAATTATCACAATTAATCAAGAGAGAGAAATTAAACTCAAACCGATTAAATGAATTTTCATCAATCAATTGGTAGACAAACTGGATTAGCTAAATTGTGACAACCTAAACATTGATATTGATGGTAAATGTTAACATGCAGTGAGAAAAGTTAATTTCAACAGTAAACAATTAACCATAACAATTAACCCAAACAATTTACCAAAGTTCAAATGATTAAGTAAACAGAAAACCCATCCTTCTAGTTTTCCTGCTCTTTCCTTAATCACAATCACCTTAATCATTGAAATTAATCACTTAATTATCTTGGATTACATCTTACCCTCCACCCACTTAAGTAAACAAACAAACATTGGAAAACAATTAAAAACAAAATCTAAGCCTCTCTTTTGATTAATCAAATTGATACAACTAATCAATCAACATAATATTAATCATAATATTATATACAATAGGTATAAATATAAATCGTTAATCAATTATTTGTTGATTATTGTTGATTAAACAGAAAAAGTTAATTGATAACAATTTATATTCATTTGGATTACTCAAGATACTTTTTTTTTCTTGATCAACATTGATCAACATTAGATCACAACCAATATTGATTATTAGATTAATCATAACACTTTAATCAATTCGATGATAAGAAAACCGTTGATTGTATCACAATTGCAACTAGTTAATTGTTTTCCATTGATTAATATAACCTAAACATTATTGATAATTAAATAATTTTCCAAAGAAAAGAAAAAGAAAAAGTTTTTCCTTCTTGTCACTTGGTTAACTTTCAATCACTTACAATCATCATCATCATCACTCCCACCGGTGGCTTTTAATTTCCTATAACTGAATTAAATTATCTTCCACTCCACCTTCATGGGCAAGTCTCATTGGGGATAATTTGTATCATGCTAATCCAATGGATTATCTTGATCTTTCCTCTTATCCCAACCTTAAACTCCACCTCTTACCACTCAATGTGTTCACCTTTACCACCCGCCCTCAGGTCCTCCTCATCCTCTTATCCTCCTCCTAACTAGTTTACCACACTAACCACCAATGGACAAAAATATCCTGCGCAATCAATAAAACCAGATCAACAATAACAACAATTAACTGTGATCCACAATTCAATTTAGACGACAATTAGTTGATCTCTCAAAGAGGAATCAACAAACTTTATTCATCTTTGTTTCTTCATCACCAACCTCAACCTCGACCATCACCACTACCAAAGCCAACAATCATCTTCACCTTCAAAGACTCTTAATTGTTTAATTGTGATTGTGATTCTTTCCTAGTTAACTAACCATGAATTCAAATCTTTCCAATCCATTGGAAACACTGACCAAAGATGAGACAATCCGACTTCGTGAACAACATATTGGGTAAGATACTGATCGATATTTAAATCACCTTTTCGACTGAATAATTAACTTCTAGTGATTGAAAATTATGATGAAATAATGGCCAGTTTTTTGTGATATTTTTCTGAAAATTTTCCTTTCTTTTTCCCTTCCTGTGTGTCCACTTTTCTTGACCATCTCTAGAAAATCCTGTACATTGTTTTTCAAAGATGACCCTTTGAAAATTGTCAAAGGTGATGGTCAATACATGTACGATGAATCTGGTAATAAATACCTTGATTGTATCAACAATGTCGCTCATGTTGGTCATTCCAATCCCCATGTAACTCGAGCCGCTGCTCGACAAATGTCACTGATTTACACAAATTCCCGTTATCTTCACGATGCTATGGTCGTTTACGCCAAACGATTGACCCAATATTTTCCCGAACAATTATCAATTTGCTACTTCGTTAATTCTGGGTAAGTTTCTCACAACAATTAACTTTTGATCAAATAAACTAATTTTCTCTCTCTCTCGCTCTCTAAAGTTCTGAGGCCAACGATCTTGCCCTCCGTTTGGCTCGTGCCCACACTCAACATAAAGATGTCATCACTCATGATGCGTTAGTATTGATATATTTATCTTACCAATTGATTTCCAATCGATTTTAAATCAATCACAATTAACTAAATACTTTTTCTTTACAATATCAATAGTGCTTATCATGGACACTTGACCAATATTGTTGAAATAAGTCCATACAAATTTACCAAGATAAAGGGACATAAGAAAAAAAATTGGGTCCATGTTGTAAGTAGATTAATTTGTTGATGATTCGACTGATTATCTTGATTGTATTTTCTTGAAAAATTAATGATGAACAATTTAACATTTGATATTGTATTATTTTCAGGCTCCTTTACCTTGCAATTATCGAGGTAAATACAATAAAGATAAACATTTCGATGATGAGAAAATTGGTAAATTATATGCAAGAGAAGTGGCCAGTTTGATTGAGACTGCAGAGGAAAAAGGTCGTCATATCGCCGCTTTCATTTCCGAATCAATGATCAGTTGTGGTGGTCAAGTTATCCCACCCAAAGGGTATTTGAAAGAGGTTTACAGGTAAGAAGAAGAAGAGAAAAAAAAATCTTGACCAATCAATTAAAATTTAATCTCTTATTTCAATTCTTACTCTTGATGGTAAACAGATTAGTTCGTGCTGCTGGTGGTGTTTGTATCGCTGACGAGGTTCAAGTTGGCTTTGGTCGGATCGGCAGTTCAATGTGGGCCTTTCAACATCCTTCCAATGATGTTATTCCCGACATTGTGACCCTTGGAAAGCCAATTGGTAATGGTCATCCAGTTTCTTGTGTGGTCACCACTCCCGAAATAGCGGCAAGCTTTGAAGGCCTCGGGGCAGAATACTTCAATACAGTAAGTATTAAACCTCTGACTCTCTCTCTCTCTCTCTCTCATCATGTGTCCACCACTCGTTGACCATTTATGTTGACTCATTATTTTTATCTTCTCTTCCTTCAACAGTTTGGTGGAAATCCATGTTCAATGGCCATTGCGAATGCCGTTCTTGATGTTATCGAAAGAGATAACCTGATGGGTCAAGCGTCCATTGTTGGATCCTTTCTAATTGAGAACCTTAATGACCTTGCCAATTCTTATCCGGTTATTGGCGATGTTCGTGGTTGTGGCCTTTTCATTGGTGTTGAATTGGTTCGAGATCGAACATCAAAACGACCAGCAAGCCATCTAGCCGAATGGGTTGTTCGTCGTTTCCGTGATTCAGGAATAATTATGAGCACCGAAGGAAAATATTCAAATGTCCTTAAATTCAAACCTCCAATGACCTTTAACCTTGACGATGCTCGTAATTGGATCAATGTTTTCACCTCCATCATGAAACAAATTGAATCTGAAGACAAACTTTTCATCTCATCATCGTCCAGTAGCTTGACCAGTATTTCAAGTGTCGATTCATTATTACCAAGTGGTGAGGAGTTTTAATCAATCACAACAATTAACTCATTAAAATCATCAATTCATTGGTTGATTATCAAATTAATCCCACAATTAATCAACTTACATCATAACCATTACAACCGATTAGGATTCAATCATCATCATCATTAACTTTCATTGACGTTTATCATCATTTGTTAATTGTTTACAATTAATCTAACAATCAACATAACAACAAAAAACAATAATTAATTAATCAATAATCAACGATCTGTTGTAAAGATCAAAACTAATTGCTCTTATTTGTGCCAAAAATAATCAACTGATTATTATCAATTTATTTATCCACCATTGGGAAAATTGTATTCCCACAATCAATTTAATTTTTATCCTTCCTGATTACAATTAAAAAGACTAAATAATCAACCCCAAATTTAAATTGTAACTCATTCAATGTTCACTAATTGTTGACAAATTTTAGTTTTGACATTACATTGAGTTGTCCCTAGTTAAATTAGTTAATTGTTGATGGTAACAATCAAGTTTTACTTATCGGTTGATGAAAAAACAAATATGATTAACATCATAATCAACTTGATGAGTATAAGGAAAAATTAATTATCACAATTTACGTAATCGTTATTGAATTAAGAGTAATTAAACTAATCACTTGTGATCGTTTACATAACAAATTTATAGTAAATGATTAGTCAACAATTTAGTTGATGGTCATTGTTAATTGTCACTTGAAAAAGTTTCAGAATCAATTGAATATTAATTCAATTGGATTCCAATTATCAAGGTTAATATATTTGATTAACTTCAAGACAATTAACAGTTTAAGGTCAAAATGATTACAACAATTAACATGATTTGGTTATTATTATTATTATTATATTGGTTAATTGTTTTACCAATTGCAATGTATAATTGATTAGTTATTATGTTGAAATATATCACATACAATCAAAGTAATTAACTAATTGCTTACAAAATCCTAACGGTAAAAACACCTCGTGAGTTTTTAATCATTGATTATAATGATCAAGAAAACAGTTAATCAGTGATTAACTTTATTATTAAGTAATTAATTGTTTATGAAAAATGTTTAATCTGATTTAAGATTAACTTTAATTACTTGTTTACCTTTTAATTGTACAATTAAATCCCTTTAAATGGTTTCGTGTAAGTTTTTAATTGTATTAGCAACATTCAATTATCCTCTACATTGAATATTGATCATGATTAAGTTGCAATTTAATACAATTGATCAATTTAATTGTAGTTTCATTTTTTCCTCTTAATTTTTGAACAATTAAATATCTTAATTGGGTTGATTAACAAATCGCCCAAATGTTTAACAATACAAAAGCCAAACCATGTTCCCAATATTGAGCCAATGTAAACAAAATAATCAACCGATGACAATTTAGCAATTGATGATTTAAATATATCAGGATCAGTTGGAGCAATTACCAAGATTTGACTTAAATTGTTACCTGACCATCTAGTAGACTGACCATCAAAATAAGGTAAATAATAAGGTTTGAAACAATCACGTTGTTTAATTAGCTTTGAACAATTATCGACAATTGAATCAATCTCATTTGAATAATTGTAATGAAATAGAGCTGAAAATTTGTAATTAACTTGATCAGGATTACGGACAATTGAATTAGCGAGAATAAAATTATCCAATTTAACTGTTTGATTGTTGATGCACATTTCTAATAGATGGTCAGCTGATTCGATCCCCTGGTCAATATCCTGATAAACTTTACAATTAGTCTCATATGGTGGAGGTAAAAGCTTAATTAATATCCGTTTGTAATAAACTCGATAAATGCTTGACCGATTGGTTGGATTGACCAGAGTAGAGGCGATTCCATTTCCATGAGGTAATGTGCCCGGAGGGTGAATATAAACAAACCCATGGTCCCAATGGTCAAAATAGACTCTTCGTAAATTGACCTGATAAATTGTTCCATAGATTGTCCAAATCTTAATGTGATCTTATCTCGATAAACTGATTGATTGGAATTGATTTTATCCCGACAACCGACATGATAACAAACAAGAGGATCTTTGATAAAAGTTTCAGAGTAACAATTAAAGTAATCGTTTAATTGTAGACCATTGAATGATGAACTTGGTGATTTCCAGAATAATACATTTTTAATTAATTGTTCAGCTTTGATAATTAACTTGTAAAATTGATCGACGGTAAAATTTTTCTCAACGAAATTTTTAAATTGCCAATATCCTAATTTGCTGTGGAAACAGTATCGTAATTGATTGGATTGGTCATCTATTGATCCGGTTAGAGTACAATTAAGGTTAATTGTTTGGTTACGATGATTGTTGAGAAAGTAGGTCCAGTTAATTGTTTCAATAAATTGGGTACAAATTGTAAAATCAGGAATTGATATTTTCTTAGGAAATGAGATGTCAATTGATTCAGTTACTGGAAACTTTAAATAATCACGAGTGATAATAATTAATTGTAATGAACAACAAATTAAACAAATTACTATGAACAATTTATCAACTAATTTTTTGATTAAATTAAACATTTTCATTGTTCACTAAATGGTAAATACAATATTGTGAAGGATAATTAAACTTGATTGAAACTTTATGGTCAAAATATTGATCAGAATCAGTGGTTAATTTTAATTATCATCATGAAAGTTAATTGATTTTATTATTAGTTAGAAGTTTTCATTTTCTCACAATTAATCAGAGCTCTAACAAATTAATTGTTGTGTTGAAAATTTTGATTGATTATAATCAACAAATATGTTGATAATCATCATCAGGATTGGAAACAATTAACAATCAATATATTGATTGTTAACTAAGTAGCATGTATTCAATTAGTTGATTTTGAACAATTAACTTTTGGGTGTTTGAATTTAATCAAGATGTTGAAAAAGTAACTTAAATGTTTTAATATACAGAAACCAAACCAAGTGGTCAAGACTGACCCAATGTAAACAAAATAATCAACTGGTGATAATTTTGGTCTTGAAATTTTAATTAAATCCGGTTGATTTGGTGCAGTAATTAAGATATAACTTAAATTGAGATGATTGTTCATATAATGGTGACCATCAACGTAGGGAATGTAATAGTTTGTATCACATTCTGGTTGAGTGATTAACTTTGAACACTCATTGATGATAGAGTTTAATTTACTTGAGTAATTAAATTCATCAGTAGATTTAATAAACTTGTAATTAACTTTATCAGGATTACGGACAATTGAATGAGGGAGGATAAAATTGTTCAATTTAATTGTTTGATTGTTGATACACGTTTCAAATAGATGGTCAGCCGATTCGATTCCTTGGTCATCATCTTGATAAACTTTACAATTAGTTTCATATGGAGGCGGAAGGAATTGAATTGCGATTCGTTTGTAGGTAATTTGGTAATAAGTTGGTCTATTTTGAGGACTAATCGATGCCGAAGCGGCTCCAGTCCCGTAGATCATTTTATTTGATGGATGGATAAAGATGGACACATGATCTAAATGGTCAAAATGAGTTCGATTCAAACCAATCTCAAAGATCATGTTCATCTTTGGTCCGTCTGTAAGGTCACTTTGCTTCAGATAAACGGCCTCATTTGGATGGTGTTTATTATGACACCGAACATTAAAACAAACACTTGGATCTTTGAAAAAAGTTTCTCGATAACAATTAATATGCTGATTTGATTGTAAACCATTAAATGATGAGTTTGATATCCAGAAAATCATCTCAGTAATTAATTGTTCGGAATCAATTGTCATCTTGTAAAGTTGATCGATGGTCAAATGTTCAGCAATGAAACTTTCAAATGGAATTGTTGAGAAAGTTTTGATAAAACATGATCGTAATTGATCCGCTTGATTACTCTCTGATCCAGTTAGTTTACAATTTAAATTGTCCAATGTGATGTTATGATTTTTAAAATAGGTCCAGTTAATTGTGTGAAAAAAGTTGGTACAAATTGTAAGTCCGGGAACCGCAATTTCTGGTGGAAATGATAATTTAATGTTACTTTGCACTGGAAATTTGGAGTATTTATAAGTGATTAAAATACATTGTGATAAACAACCAATTAAACAAAACAATTTGAACAATTTATGAACAATCAATTTAAATCTCATCTTAATTTTCATTTACGTTCATTCAATTTACCAGAAACCAGAGGTGAAAAAATTGGTTTTAACAAATTTTCTCTCAAATAGCATGAGCAATTTTCAATTATTATAACTTCCAATCGATAGTTGAATATTTCGAACAATTTATTAATCAACAATTAACGATTTTATTGGGATAATCAATGAAATAAAAAAAAATTTCTCATGTTCAAATTTCCCGCTATTTTTTTCTTCTCACGCTGGTTAACATTTAGTTAACTTATTTTCCAAAAGGTGTCAGTGTCTTATGTTTACTTTTTTAATAAAAAGTTTTAATTTTAAAATTAATTTCTGTTCAATTTTAATCACGTCAAGTGTTAATCTTTTATTTAATATCTTTTCTTAAACCAACCATTGCCTTCAAAATTGGTCTGGTAATTGATCTCAACTCTTGCAACGTAAGTAACAATGTGACGATTAAATTGTTTACTGAATCTTTTTGTTGATTGTAATTTGATGACATTAATTTTTTGGAAATTTTTTCCATCTCTTTTAGGTTTGAGCTTTTTTCCACAATTAAACCAACCGATGGTGATTAAATTGGCGGAAAGTTTTCGCAAATGGGTAACAATACTGAATCCAAACCAAGTACCAACAATTGAACCAACATAAACAAAGTAATCGATTGATGAAAATTTCGGAATCGTTTTCTTCCTGATGTCAGGTTCAATTGGAGCAAAAATCATGGCATAACTTGAATTAGAATTTGACCCTTGACCGAAATGACCATCAACATAGGTTACATAATACCGTTTCTTACATTCAGGTTGAACAATAAGACTAAAGCAATTGTCTAAAATTTCAATTGCTTTTTTAGGATAATTGGCCAATCCTTTTTTAATGGCAAACTTGTGATTTACTTGACCAGGATTACGGATAATTGAATGAGGGAGGATAAAATTATCCAATTTAATTGTTTGATTGTTGACACACATTTCAAATAGATGGTAAGCCGATTCGATTCCTTGGTCAATATCCCGATAAACTTTACAATTAGTCTCATACGGTGGAGGTAAAAGGTGAATCTTAATCCGTTTGTACATAATTCGGTACATAATTGGACGATTAAAGGGATTAATTAAAGCTGGTGCTTTTTGTGGACCATAAGGTAATTCACCTTGTCGGTGTGTGTAAAGAAATATATTCCCAATTCGGTTAAAATTAACTGGATTGAAAGTGACCCGATAAAGTGAACCAAAATCTGGACCATAATTTAAAGACGATCGATTTAAATTAACCGGTTGATTTTGATCCCTTTTATTGTGACAATTAATTGAATAGCAAACATTTGAATCTTTGAAAAAAGTTTCTCGATAACAATTAATATGCTGATTTGATTGTAAACCATTAAATGATGAGTTTGATTTCCAGAATATCATCTCAGTAATTAATTGTTCGGAATCAATTGTCGTCTTGTAAAATTTATCAATGGTAAAATGTTCAGCAATGAAACTTTCAAATCCTGATTGTCTGAATCTATTGATGAAACATAATCGCAGTTGATTAGATTGATTTATTTGCGATCCAGTTAATTTACAACCAATTTCATTTGTTAAATTGTGATGATTTTTGATAAAATAGGTCCAGTTGATTGCGTAAATGAATTGTACACACATTGTAAGACCAGGGACATCAAATTGATCGGGAAATAGTATATTAATTGTTTCCGTTACCGAGAATCTACTAAATTCACGAGTGATCGCAATTAACAGTAATGAGCAAACAATTGTGCAAATTAATAGAAACAATTTGTATGATAAATACTTAATTGTTTTCAACATTTTCACATTTATTGAATGAAAACTTGATTAGAAAATATTACAAATCTTTATAATTGTCAACCACTATTCTTATATTATAAAGAGTTAAACTTATCAGAATATATTGATTTTTTGATAAGTTAATTATTGTGATGATCAATCAAAATGATTGTCTACTTGTCAATCTAATTTGATTACAAAATTTCGATTAAGTTCCAGAATTTAAATGAAACAAATTCACAACAAACATTAAAGTAAATCAGTTGTTTTATTTTTTCTTACAGATTAACAATTGACAACTTAACGATGATTCTGAAGTAATTAGTGGCGAAATTGATCTTGGACCGATAAACGATTGGATCGATGACGACAATTACAGGAATTAAGACCATTGATTGTTGGATTATTGACTAATCGCCGTAAATGTCCAGAAATGTAAAATCCAAACCAAAGACTTAATGTCGACCCAATGTAGACAAAGTAATCAACTGATGACCATTTAGGAAATGAAATTTTCCTGATATTAGGTTCGATTGGAGCGATGACCAGAACATAACTAACCCGAATAGCTGGACCAAACTTTTCCACTCCTTTCATGGCGGGAATATAATAGTTTTTTATACATTCTGGTTGAGTGATTAATTTGTTACAATCAACGAAAATTTGTTGCAATTCAGTTGAGTAATTATGTTTACCTTTATTTTCAAATTTGTACTTTACTTCACCAGGATTACGGATAATTGAATGAGGGAGGATAAAATTATCCAATTTAATTGTTTGATTGTTGATACACATTTCTAATAGGTGTGCAGCCGATTCGATTCCTTGGTCAATATCCCGATAAACTTTACAATTAGTCTCGTATGGTGGAGGTAAATATCTCAATTGAATCCGTTTAAATGTCAAGTAATAAGCCTCTGAACTTTTCGATAAGTTTATCAACTGTGATCTGGAGGTTAACCCGTAAGGTAAAAATGCCGCCGGGTGAAGGAAAAGGAATCCATCTTTCCATTGTGAAACAATACTCTGATTGAATCCAACATGGTACAGGGTATTCGCTACCGGGCTATAAATTTCATTTTTATCAACGACTATTGGACTGTTCGAGTTGAATTTATCACGACAACCAATATGATAGCAAACAAGAGGATCTTTGATAAAAGTTTCACTATAACAATTGGCTCTTCGTTGATTGTTTTTAGCTAAAGCATCATAATAACCAACACTTGAGAAGATTATTACAGAAGTGAATAGTTGATCATCACTAATTATATTCTTGTGAAATTGATTAATCGTAAATTGTTGACTGATGAAATTTCGGAATTGAACACTTGTCAATTTGCTATGGAAACACGATCGCAATTTATTGATCCGATCGTCTAGCGATCCAGTTAATGTACAATTAAGGTTGATTGTTAGGTTTAGATGATTGTTGTGAAAATAAGTCCAGTTAATTGCTTGAATAAATTCTGTACAAATTGTGAAATCAGGAAGCTCGATTCGCTTTTGGAATGAAAAATCAACTTTACTTGTTACACGGAATCGTAAGTACTCAGAACTTACCAACAGAATTTGTAATAAACACCCGATAGCACAAAATAATATGATAATTGTGGTGATTAACAATCTGAATCTCATGTTATTCACTGTCCAAAGTAAATCATTAAAATTTACACCATCTAATTACAGTTATGAACTTTGCCGGCAATTGATTGAAAAAAATTGTGATCAATCATTGAATGTAACGAAATCAATAATCAAATTAAATGATTGGTGTTGATTGGCAAAATTAGTGTATATTGATCAATACCGATAATTAGAAAGTAATCAAAAAAGTTTCGTTGATTAAAGTTGCCAATCAAAAATGAGCTTTGATTGTGTGAAATTGAAAAGATTTGAGTTTTTATTTTTATTCAACGATCAAAATAATTACAATCACAATGGTTAATTTAAATTAAACTTTCTTGTTACTTTATAAACAATTAATTTCTTTGGACGGTAACCTCGAACTGGGAAATGATTAATAAATTGTCGCTCTCTGATCAACTGATTTCTCCACTGATTCGGCTCATTGCTAACCTTCAATCTATTAGTTTGATTATCTTTTGTATTATCAATCCACAAATTGTGCTGTTGGTAATTACTTTTATCAATGAAACATGAATAGAGATATTGTCGAGCACAATTAACTTTATTCTGGTAAATTGGAATCAAATTGCTGAAAAAACGAGTGAAATGTTTATAAATAGAGAATCCAAACCAAGTGCTCATAACTGAACCAACATAAACGAAATAATCAACTGAGGACAATTTGGGAATTGATGATTTAGTTAAATCCGGTTCGAAAGGGGCAAGAACTAGAGCAAAACTTTGATTCGATCGAGGGTCAATCTTTTGAAGACCATTGAGTATTGGTACATAAAAACTCTGTTGACATTCAGATTTAACTCGAAATTTAAAGCAATAATTGTAAATCGAGCTTAATTGTTGAGAGTAATTGAATCTCCGTCGATTACTAAATCCATAGTAAAGTTTATCCGGTTGACTGATAATCGTTTGATAGAGGATAAAGTTACTTAGTTTAATTGTTTGATTGTTGATACACATTTCAAATAGATGGTCAGCCGATTCAATCCCTTGGTCAATATCTCGATAAACTTTACAATTAGTCTCATATGGTGCCGATAAAAGTTGGACTGATGATCGTTTATAAGAAAAGTAGAAAATCGTTGGTACACCTAACGGATTGATCAAGATCGAAGAGGCCTCAGGCCCGTAGATCCTTTCTTTGGTTGAATGGATAAAGATAAATGCATGATCCCAATGGTCAAAAAGATCTCGATTTAATCCTAGGCTGTAAATACCGCCGATCGATGGGCAATAGTTGAGGTCACTTTTAGAAAGATAGACGGACTCATTGGGATTGATCTTATTCCGACATCTTATATGATAGCAAACATGAGGATCTTTGAGAAAAGTTTCACGATAACAATTAACACGATCGTTTAATTGTAGTCCATCATAGGTTCCATTTTCTGACCAGAATACTTGTGAAGTAATTAATTGCTCTGATTTAATTACCATTTTGTAAAATTGATTGATTGTAAAATGTTTCTCAACGAACGATTGGAAATAATAATCTCCTATTTGATCAAAGAAACAAGATCGCAATTGATTTGATTGATCAAGTTTGGATCCTTTTAAGGTACAATTAAGGTAACCAACTAAATTACTATGATGATTAAGAAAGTAGGTCCAGTTAATTGCGTTGATAAATTGTGTACAAATTGTAAAAGCGGGAATCTCAACTCTCACCGGGAATGAGATGTCAATTGATTCAATTACTGGAAACTTTAAATAATCACGAGTGATAACAATTAACTGTAATGAACAACCAATCAAACAAATCACTGGGAACAATTTATTTACCAATGGTAATAATTTTTTGTACATATTTAGCATTTAAATGATTTAACTAAACTTATCACTATTGTTATGTTATGTATCGGCGATTATGTTAATTGCTTGAGAAAATTTAACGCAATTAAAATCCAATATCAATGATTTAACTAACAGGTAACAATCAATTGACTAGAAAAATCAAAGTTTCTTGTAATAATCAACAATCAACGATATACAGTTGATAATCAATAATAAATTGTCATCAATGTGTGAAAATCAATTAATCACTAAGGTGATTGAAAGTTTGTTGATTAACTCAAAATGAAATGGTGTTAGTTAAATTGTTGAACCTTGATTTAGTAAAAAAGAAACTAAATAATCTTGACAATTAATCAATTACAAGGTTAAAAATAAACCAGTTATGTTGATTAGGGTTTAATTATGGTCACAATTAAGTATTTAAACTAAAAGTTTTCAAGTAAATTTGTTCAATTTAAATTCAGTTTCACTTCTGAATCTTTGATCAACAATCAACAACGACAACAACAATTTACCAATATGGTTTCAGCTAAAGGTTTTCTCTTGGTCCTTTTAATTTGTTCAACTTTAATTACAATTAGTTACCAACAATCAACTAAATGTAAATGTAATTCGGTTGGTTCAGCTTCCAACGATTGTGATCCAGTTACATTACAATGTCCATGTAAACGAGGAATCACCGGACGGGATTGTGATCAGTGCGCTTTTGGCCGGTCTAATTATCCATCTTGTACCCGTAACAATTAACTGATCAGTTAATGATTAGTATGGTAAATTGATTAACATTGTATTCCAACACTTTCCAAGTGCAACTGTAACGTTTACCTTAACAATAATATCGATCACAATAAATTGATTTGCTTTAAATTCAAATTTAAATTTGATTTGGAAATATTTTTAATAACAATTATATTTGATTGTGATTTTACAATTTGTGTAAATCATACAGTATGTAGTTAAGAATCTAGATATAAACATGTAATTGTTGATGGATTAAATTATCATACATGAAAATAAAAGATTTCCAATCCTCTTAAACAACACAATTAACTCGATGAGATTTGAGTTGATTAACATTGTCGGAGGATTTACAAATTTTCAATTGCTACTAGTTTTGATTATTTACATTAATCGGGTTTAAAATTTGTGTATAATACATTTTACATAAATAAATTAGTTGGAAAAGGAGTTTAAAAAATATATACAGCCATCGACTTTGAGTTTGCAACCACTTTTAATTTACTCGCGACAATTATGACGATAATGATAATCAATGAGAGATCAAGTTAACCCAAAGATATGATAATAATCAATGTCTTCTCATTCAACTGGTGTTATCGTTTCAAATGGTCATCCGATTAGATTTAGATTTGACTAATTATCAAGTAAATTAAAAGTGATTGCAAACTTAAAGTCGATGGCTGTATATCATAAAATAGTCGTGGATGTTTGGTGAGACAATTTAAATTGTTCGTGATTATTGATTTGGTTTCAATCGACGTTTACATTTTAATCCTTTACCAAACCAACCTGGTTGACAGGATTCAGTTGTTGAGGTTGATTGTTGATTAGATGAAGATTCTTGATTAGCCAGATTGGTTAATCTTAAGCGATTATGTGTTGATGATTCTTTTAATTTCAATGGAATTGAAATTGATAGTAAAGGATCTTCGTGTTGTTTATATTCTGGTATCTTGATTGTTAATAAATCACAAACAATTTTCATGACATCATCACATTTACCATTTATTTTAAGAGTTGATTGTGAATCTTTTGGTGTCCATTGAAGGTTAACTATAACCAGTTTAAGTTTGTTATTGGTTGATGAAGATGAAGATGAAGATGATGATTTCTTAGGCCATAGACAAGGATATCGCCGAAGGACAGCTAAACTGGTTCCTAGACAAAGTATCATGTCGGTTGATTCAACAATTTTACTGGCCGGTAACCAATTATATGGATAATCAAAATGTGACTTTTCACCAAAATGAACAATTGTATCAACAAGAAAACCTTTTTCAACTGGACAATTGTGACAAAATCGACCAGTTCGATGTCTATGGAAAGAGGTTTTCTCTGTAACATCAAAATCTCTCCAATACAATTTTTTACAATTGTTACAAATTTCGAGAAACATGTTACCATGGACTTCAGATAATGATTTACTTGGAAATCCACTTCGTAAATGTAAACCATCACAATTTTGAGATACTACATGTTTAACTAATCCATGTTGGTGTAACTCTGTTAAAGCTAAATGAGTAAATGTTGGCTCTGTAGTGAGAGAAAAGAAGAGAAAACAGAAATAATTAGAATTAGAAAATTGACTTTTCAATCGGAAAATAATCGAATGTATAATTATCCAAACTAACTAGCACAAGCTAAATCTGCAAGAGGAACATTAACCAGAACTTTGTTTCGATTAAGTTGACTCCAAACACCATTTGGACCTCGATAATCGGGTATGTTTGCTGAAGTACTAATTCCAGCGCCAGTGTAAACAATTAGCCTTTTACTTTCACGTATATTATCAGCTAATTGTTGACATTTTTCTCTCAATTCTTCGGGTGTATCCTCCTTCTCAACGTTTCGCTCTTTAAGTAAAACATTTCGCTTTAACCGTAATTCTGCCAAAGGAATAAGATGAGAATTTTCAGTTAAATATTTATCATCTTCTTCATTCCGATCTTCCAGTTGCTTCTTAAGTATCTTGGCAAGTTGTTTCAATCTAAAAGTAACAAAACCAATAAAAGAGAGACAAAAATTTAAATTAGAAACAAACCTTTAATCACTAATCAATCTGTTAATTGATCAAAACAAAGAAGAAGAAAAAAATTTCCAAACCTAAGAGCTTTTTCCTTATTAGAAACAATACCAAGAGTATCACAATTACTTTTCAAACGAGCACTTCTAAAGTGAGAATTAACTCTCGAAGCCATAGGAGATGGAAGAAGAAAAAAAAATTAATTCTTAATTAAATTACATAATTAAAACAACGAGAATTTTTTTTCATCAAAACGTAAACAATTTCATTCATTAAAAAATGTAAACAAAAAAAGAACGACAACCAGAACCATCTACGAGAGAATAAGTCAACTATCCGAAAGTAAAGAGAAACTCAAAAAAAGATTGGCGGTTAGTTTAAAAAAGCGAACTTAAAGAAAAAGAAAAAGTTTCAAATCGAAACCAATAGATGGAAGTTAATTACTGATAAGTTGAAGGAAAAAAGTTCTAACTATTAGGAAAAGAGAAAGAGCAGAAAGAAAACAAGGTGGAGTCTAATTGATATATTTTCTGTTGGAAAAAGAGAGAAAGAAAGAGAGAAAGAGAGAGGAGAGAGAGAGAGAGAAAGAGACGGAAAAGTTGACCCGCTGGAGAAGCGTAAAGGAAAAGTCGAACGGGAGAAAGGGAGGGAAGGTTCAATTTGTGCGCATCCCAAAGCCAGCCCACAATTCGAGGGATGGAGATGGAAAAAGGGAGTAACTTTAGGAAAAGAAGATGAGATGAGGGAATGATGATGATTGTCGATGGAATGAGAAAACAGTAGTAGTAAGAACTCAACTCAGTTCCAAGTTCTAGTTTGAAAGGAAAAAAAAAAAGTTTTGTTATATATATTGAAGAACAAAAAGAAAGAAAGAGAAAAAAAGAGAGAGAGGAAGATCGAAAGAAAGAAAAGAAAGAAAGACAAAAAAAACCCCGTGAAAAAAGTGTTATTGTTATTGTTTTTTTCCCCTGGAACGAAAAACAAAACAAGTAAGTAATGGACATGGAGCATCCATATGATCCGATGCCCACTCTCACCTATGGTCCATCGGTGAATTATGGAAATTCAGTCCATAATTACCAAGCGGGTCATGCTATGGGAGCCGATATACATAAACGGGATAAGGATGCAATTTATGGGTAAGTGTGTTTTCAATCAATCGACAGAAAAGCCAACAAGAAAATCTCATCTCATCACAATGTGACAACATCGAAAATGCCGAAGAAAAGTTCGAATAATAAGAAGAGACGAAAATTCGAAAAATTCGAAGAAAAAAAAAATTCTAATCTATAATATAAATTGTCAATTGGATTAATTTTTTGTCAATTGTTTTCCCTTTTTCTTATTCTTACTATTATCATATTATTAACTTTTCCTCCTCACCAAATGTTATCAATCGTTTATTATTGTGAATTAATCAACATCTTAATCGTGATTAAATGAACGGCCATCAAATATCAACAATCAATGTTTATCCAAAAACTTATTACAATCAACATAATCATCGATATCGTTACCGTGAAAATCGTGATCAACATAATCATCATTCTCATCATTGGAAATTCGTGTTTTCGTTTCAATTTATGTTCAAATTTTCTCGAAAAAAAAATAAATAAAACAAAATGGATACTAAACAAATTCTCTATTCAAATTTTCTCGAATTATATTATTCATATATACACATCTATGGAATTTTATCGACTTTTCGGTGTTTCTGTTCAATATTTTTCGCCTTTGAACATTTCGATTGGTTCGATTACCAATTTTTAGACATCCATTGTTCCCACTTCTCGCACTCATCTTTGAAAAATGTGAATTAGCAACTTGTACACCTCGAGATTCTGGACTGTCCAGTGGAGGTGATGTGTGTTCATCCGAATCATTCAATGAGGATATTCAGGTATTCGCTAAGCAAATACGCTCAGAGAGATCCTATTATGTACCCAATCCTGAGCTGGACAGTCTAATGGTCCAAGCGATTCAAGTGTTACGATTTCATTTGTTGGAATTAGAGAAAGTTCATGAATTGTGTGATAACTTTTGCCAACGTTATATCAGCTGTTTAAAGGGTAAAATGCCCATTGACCTTGTTATTGATGAAAGGGATACAAAACCTGATTTAGGGGATAACAATAATAACTCATCTTCCAATGGATCTGGAGGACCGGCAGGAGCTGGTTGTGGTGACCCAGGCGGTGGAGGTGGTGGCGGCGGAGGCCGTGGTGCAACATCAAACGGAGGTAGAGGAGGTTCAACTGACCCTGGTCATCATTCAGATTCAGCATCAACACCTGATCAGGTAAAGAAAGTAAATTCAATCAATTCATTAAAACCATTACCAATTCTCATATCAATTAATCACTTTCACTTTTTTTTCACTAAATTTTCAACTCTTAACATAAAATATTATGTTGAGATTATTACAATAATAATAATAGACAATTTAGTCAATCTCTCAATTTTAATTGTTCAACACTTAATCAATTTCTTATAATTTTTTCTTCTCTTCTTTAAAAAAAACTCTCATCACCTGATCAATTGATTGGTCGGAAAAGTTTGCAAAAAAAGTTTCGAATGATAATTTTTTCTTTCTCAATCAAATTCTCATTACGATAAAATAATTTTCTATGCTGATTTCATATTGATCAATTTCTTTACATTGATTTACCTTAATTATCAGTTTTAATGTCTCATTGTAACCTGGAGGTCACGTGATATTGATAATCAGGATCAACATGACGATGAACATGATGATGAGCACGACGCAGGGAAACTTGAAATAATCCAAATAGCATGCTCAATGTTGGATAAATTGTATTTCTCTCTCTCTCTCTCTTATCATCATTATCATCATCATTTTCCTTATATATTTTTTTCCTCTGTGATGTGAATGTTATAGGACATTTATAGGGTTGGAAACATATTAACAGGAGATGATGATGATCATCATAATGATGATAATGATGACGATAGAGAAGATTTCTCTCTCTTTCATGTCTTTTTCTCTGCGTCTCTGTATCTCTCTCCTACTATTGAACAGTTCATTTCCGGAAATTTCATCCTGACTCTGTATTCCTCAATACAGGTTTCATGTTGATTATCATGATCATTTTTATCCTTGTTACGATAATCCAATCCTTTATCAATGATAATTTGAATAATAGACGAAAGTTAATTGTCGTTGATTCAGTTGATCAAGGAATAGGTGAAAACCTTGGCACTTTTTTATTTGAAATTTTCTCCAAAGTAAACAAACTTTTTCTCTCTCTTTTCAAGCTTGTCGAAAAATGAAGTCTCGAATGTCCTTCCATCGAAAATAAGAGTTTAAAAAAATTCTGGTTCATTTAAAGTTCTAATTGTTGTTGACTCGAAAATTTTACAATCATGAATAATATTAATAATAAATAAGGAAAAGATCAGTTATCATTTCCGGATCCTGTTTGATCATCTCGATGATTTTGGTGGGTGATGATTTTAAGGTAGGGTGAAAATGAGAATTAACTTCGATAACAATGTTTATTTTCCGTGGAAAAGGAATCAAAGTGGAAAAAAAGATCAGATATTTTGTTGTTTTGAAGGAAAAAACGTGAGACGAGGTAAACGAAGACGAAAAGATCGTCGATGAAGAAAAGAGATGAAAAGAAAACAATTTTTTCTCTTAAATTTATCTTCCTCTCTCAGTGTCTCTCTCTTCTACTGTCTTCTCCTATTCTGTCTTCTTGGATGATGGCGAATGATAAATGGCCTTAAATGAATACCATTGGAAGTCATACCTGGTTCTCGTTATTATTTTCTCTCTCTATTTCGCCTCTTCTCTCATCTTTCTCTCTCTCTCTCTCTCTCTCTCTCTCTCTCTCTCTCTCTCTCTCTCTCTCTCTCTCTCGCTCTCAGTGTGTACCTCAAGCTCTAAGGTCATTGGGTTTCATGATTTTCCCTTCCACTTTTTCCTTCACTTCGTTCAAGCTACACAACTTTTCCCATAACAAGTAAATGTGATGAAGATGAGGATGAAAAGTGTATTTTAATTGTGTAACAAACATTTTCCTGTTCAAATTTGTGTGATAAATTTGCTTACAATCACAATGGAAAAAGTCAAGAGTAATCATCTTACATAATCTTAATCACCATCATCATCATGATAATCGTTATCATCGTTAACATAATCATTATCACCCATTGGAAAAAGTCAACAAACAATAAAAAAAAGAGGAAAAGGAAAAGAACAACTTAAAAAAGAGAAACAAATAAGTTCCAATTCGAAATTGATATTCATATTTTTCTCTTTCTCTTTCTCTCTCTCAATTGATAATCTGTGAGGTTTGGAAAAGAGATAAAGATAATCCGAAGCTTAAGAAATGATGATGACCATCAGAAGGAAGGATGAGAAAGGATCAATTCTCATATTCGCCTACATTTTAACACGAATTAAGATCTTTGCCTTTACCATTTCTCTGTTTAAGTCGAAAGAAGAACCAAAAAGTTTTCGAATACTTTTTTTTTTATTTTATCTTCTCTTCATCCCCAATCTCTTGTCACTATCAATTTATTTTCCATGTTTATCATCATCTTCCTCATCCCTATGAGTCTTTTTATAAGAAGATATAAAAAAAAGAAGGAGCAAAAGATGATCCATGATGATTTCTGAAGGATTTCACTTGAATTGGACAAAAAAAAGAGAAGAAGAAAAAAGAAGATAAAAGTTCATCTTCATCTTCATCCCATGCAATTTAAAGAGACACAGGATGATGGTGATGATGATTTATCTTCATCTGAGAAATTACCTGTTTATCCAACATTCATATTCAACTGAAGAAGAAGAGAAAAAAAGTTTTTCTTTTTGAGGAAAATCTTAAATTCATCTGAATGTTAATCTCATGTTTACCTTGAAATCATTTTTCCAGATTAACATGAAAACGAGTCTGATCAAAAATGACAGGAATCAATTTCCAGCAATTTACAGACAATCAGCAAGAAAAATTGGGAAAAATGATCATCAACAATTAACTTGATTAGTTAAACTGTTAATCTAAGGATTTCAAATCAATGACAATCAACGAAAACTTGTCAAGCTGATTAAATGACTTGATTGAAATGATTACGATTGTGAGTTGATCGATTCACCGAAATTGTTACTTAATCTACATTCTTGAATAAGATTTGTCGAAATTTTGGGTAAAGATTACGCAAAAGCTACAAGGATTCTATGAGAGGTTAAGGTATCAAAAAATTCAGCCGAAAATCCTACAAAACGGAAAAATAGTACGAACAAAATCTGAGTAGCCGTTCATGAGAAATTCTGACTCAAAGATTTTTATGTACGCATGCGCAGATAAGCTTTTTTACAGCGCGAATTTCAAAAAGAAAGAGATGAAAGATGAGAGAGAGAGAGAGAGAGAAGAGAGAGAAAGAAAGAGACGAGAAAGAAAGAGAGAGAAAGAGAAAAAGACAGTAGTGAGAAAGAAAAATTAATTCAGTTTTGAATTTTTCGATTAAAAAACGATTCCCATTTCAATACTTCAAATAATAATAATAATATAATATAATAATTCCAATAATTAATTGATGATGATAATCACAATAACTTTCCAATAATTCAAACTTTCGTAAGAAAGTTTGTTCCCGCTTGTTTAGTTGATTAGTTTTTTGTTTCTCGTATACAATTAAAAATGTTTATTTGATTACATTAACAATTTAGTAACAAGGTAAATCTTTTCAAATGATTTAGCAACAAGTTTTAATCATAAAAACAACAATTTACCAACATCAGAATTTTTTATCAGGTAGAAAATGAAAAATCATGGTTATGATTTTTTCTATGAGAATTTTTTTCTCCATCTCTCTCTCTCTCTCTCTCCCTTTTGATTGATGGGCTAATCAAAAGGTGATGATGATAAAGAAGAACTCGAATAATAATAATCATCATCATCCTCTAGATGATCATCAAGATGAAGATGATAATCAAGAAGTAAAAAAAAAGAGCGGGAATTGACCCTTACCTTTTTGTATCAATCTCTTGGTTTGTTTCGTAAACAATTTAATCAGTTAATTACAATAAGAATTAAATCTTGAAACAATCAAAATAATGATTGAAGATTATTTTCCTTGAAAAACAATCAAATTTAATTGTGATAACAGTGAAAAAAAAACAATCACGAAGCTTCAACTTTAACCGGACAATCAGATGACCAATGATAATAACACCTTAAGGATAAATGCTGGTGATGATATTGATCAATTTTTCGGAGAGGTGAAAACGATAATGATAATAATGATCAATAGTAAATTTCAAGTCTCTGTCATTGAGTGACCTTGATTGGTTGAATTGTTGAGTAACAATTGTGAAGGCAAAGGTTGGATAACAATGGGTCAATGGATAGAGATGAATATGGAAAACAACTGGTACAAACTATTGATATTTACAATCAAGATCAACTTTTGAAGGTGGGAGAGTGAGAGGTGGGCAAGAAATCAATAGATAGTTAACCATTGTATCCATCATCATCATCATCATCATCATCGTTGTCCTTAGCATCCTCATCACAAAAAGTATTTTCAGTTACTATAGAGAGTAAAGTGAAACTATTAACAAAGAAATTGCTCTTTTCATCTCTCTCATCTTCTTTATCATCATCTTCGCCTTTCTTTGCAATATTTGACGCTTTGCCTTTCTTTTCATCTTCTTCTCTCTCTCTCTCTCTTTCTCTGTCTCTTCCTCATCATCTTTGCATGATCTTTGCACGCAACATTGCAGATAAGCAACATTTACAATAGAAAAGCAAAGCAACAAACAAAACTTTTTCTTTCCTCGTACAATATGAGAGATTGAATAGAAAAGAGAATTTTTCTTTTCGAAAACTGTTCTAACCTTCTGTGTATATATTTCGCAAATGTGGCCTAAGGTTTTCGACAGTTTATTCTCAATGCTCACTTTAGTTTCGCCTTCATATATCTCTCTCTCTTTCTCTCTCTCTCTCGCTCTCTCTGAGATGATCTTCATCTTAATCTGCTTTTAAACAACAACTAAAAAATAATAAACCTTTTCCTCTGTAAATCTATTATCCATATGATGATTATTTCTGAAACGTTTTGTATTTTTTTCTTCTTGATTGTGATTAGGATTGGTGATGATTACCAACAATTTAGATGGCTAAAAGAGGATTATCCTTTTCCCCCCTTCCATTTACCAATACTTATTGTTGTTTGATTATTTATTCATTATGGAGTCAGGATTAACTTTCCAAACTATTAACTGATTGTACTGTTAGTTAGTTAACATAATCCAGTTATCAGATTTAAAACTTATTATGA